ATTCTAGTTCTGATTCTTATTCTAGTTCTGATTCTTATTCTAGTTCTGATTCTTATTCTAGTTCTGATTCTTATTCTAGTTCTGATTCTTATTCTAGTTCTAATTCTTATTCTGGCTCTGATTCTGATGTTTTCCTATACGGAGGCGGAGGCGCAGGCACAGGCGGATGTGGATGTGGATGATCATGCTCATGTTCTGGATAGTACCATAAGATACTAGTACCTAGATATATATATGTGTGTGTGTGTGTGTGTGTGTGTGTGTGATATACAGATGCCAAAAATACCCGGTTTCTCCGTCCATCAAGGCTCTAATTGGATCTATTCCGGCTGATCTGATCTAGTGTGGACGTTGAGGATATAGTACCTAGGTAGGTAGATCAGTACGGAGGATCTCGTGCCGATGTAATTGCATACGATATGATATATCCACACGGTATGCCCTATTGATTGCGTGCACTTGTTATTTCGGGTTGACGCTTCCGGCAGATTGGGTAAGAGTCGCCATAAAATACTGTACAAGATCATTTTCGGTACCAACTGCAACCCAAACCGATTCAATTCGATTCAGTTCGATCTACACATTAACTTAACTACTATTGAAATGCACGCCGTTCCGTTCACCCACATCCATAGGCACGTCCACGCGCCGTTCCTGTCAGCTGTAACATCATTCCATCACAGAGTATCATGGCGTCGCATCCGCTGCTTGTGGCGTTGCTATTTCGTCTCGCCTCGCCAAACCTCCTGCCTGTATTAATTATGCCTGAAGTGAGGAATGTACTGTGTATATGCCATCTCCAGCTGCCGTCATTCTCGCGTCATGGCTGTTTCATGGCTGATGGTCGCTTTGCTGTGCTTCAACCTTCGCTCGGCCGACATCGACATCATCTGTTCCCGGCAACCCCGTCACTCTTGACTCAATGCACTCTCATCTTTTGCGACCAACCTACTCTTTGCCGTGTCATGGATTGACAAAATCCCTCCTTTCCACCGCGCCGCCCATGCTCTCGCAGAACGCACCCAACCTAGTGCCCCACTCGGCCATTCTTTCTTTCATGTACTGGGCTTGCTCCTTCTTGTTTCTTTTGGCCAGCATCCCTTTCTGCGCTTCCCAGTCCCAATACTCGCACGTTTCCGTACCATCGCCACTGACAATGGGCCGGATTTCGTGCACTCGTTGAGTCTGCAGCAGAAACTTCGGGTACGATTTCGGTGGGTTGTAGCTGTTCGCCAGGGTCCAAACAATTCGGTACACTCCCGACTTGGAGACGGTATGTGTTGGAGCACGCGCAAGACCACCAGGATCAGGTTCATCCAAAGGGTCGTCCGGTCGTGAGACTTCAGTGACGATAACGTTCTGCTCGCGCAATTCGTGGCTGTGGGGCAGTTTCATCCTCATGTGCAATGTCATCCGCGTGGCCAGTTGGATCCGTACGCTCGGTTCCCCGTATAGCGCATTGATATGCAACTGGCGACGGAGCGATGAGCTGATTCCGCTTTTCCGTCGCGAAGCCTTGTGCGAAACCGCTAATGCGGTCGATGCCGTGTTCGCTGGAGCTGGCATGAGGATGGACGATTGGGCGGGAGATTCGAGCATGACGGCACTGTTGGCCGTAGCAGGTTCTTTACCCGATGCAATAGATGATTTCCGCGTTTCTTGTGCAGCTTGATACTTTTGTGCGCCGGACAGGCCGTTGGTGGCGTTTGAGCGAGGCCTTTCACCGTTGGACTCCTCCGATGCTCTGCCCGCGTTACTGGCAAGGCGTTGACGAGTCACTGGGAGGGGACTGAAGCCTTCTGAGCTGGTCCGTCCGGTATCACCTCTACTACTGGGGGGTGAGCCAGTTTCAGCGCCAATGCCGCTGGGTAGGCGGCTGCTTCTCCTGGGGGCTGGGCTGGGCGGCCCGACCGCTCCATCTGTGATGTCCGAATCGAAACTCACTGCGATGGATGTGTTACGGACGAGTTCTTCAATCTCCGCCAGTGTGGCGTCGTCTTCTTCCTCAGGCTGGAACGTGATTGTTACCCGCGGTATCCACCGATTCCAGTCTCGCCATGTCTCAGTGTTTCGCAGCGTGCGAAATACTAAGCTGGCGGGCGCGTTGATGCGTGTGCAAGCCGAGACGTAAAAGGTGGCTTCAGACATGGGGATGTCAGGAGTAGAAAAGTCGGTCCTTGTGGTGGCCATGTTGAATTAAATTGTATCAGCAGCGGGAAATCAACAGTTACACTGCAATCCTAGACCAAATTCTGCCCAACGTAACCATCCGCGGGGGACAATAGCGCCTTGTAAAACACCACTCGAATGAGGTGCAACGATTGGTGACCCTCTGCCGCTTGCGATCTTCTGTTCCGCGATATGTGAGAAACCCCTATCGCCACCAAGTGCTGAGGTAGGAATGGGATTACCTAGCCTTGATAAGGCATCAGGCAACTGGTATCAATACTGAAGCGACTTTCTTGTGAGGAAGATGGTGTCCGCCGAATGATGACGATTGCCATGTGCTTCTTTTTCTAGACGCTTGATAATCAGAGCCAGGCAGAAGGACGTGGGTGGTGTGCCACAGGATGTCGAAGAAGGGCACTCGATGCGATAGGTGGTCGTGGCTCGCCTCTTTCTCTCCGCGATGAGTTTCCAGGAATACGAGAGAAAGCTTGGGTCAGCTCAAGTGCTGATTTAGATCATGCCTTAGTCAGACAGGTTGCTTTGTCGGCCCAATCATGGATCCCGGAGGAGTGGCCAGAGGGAGAGGAAGGTTCTTAAAGAACAAGGAAAAGGCATCGTTGGCAGAATCGCCAGGATAGGTCATGAGGAGAAGGAACCCGCGTGTCATTTTGTCATGGTGAATCGAGAGATTGCGAAATTAGATAAGGCGTCCGCTAGCTAGGTAGCGTTCAGCTCGTGGCAGAGGCGATCGTGGTACTCTATACTAAATATGGAGTAGGGAATACATCGGGGGGGCCCTTGAGATTAGGTGCCTGAGATGGAGAGGTACATAGTGGAGGAGGATGTCGGGGAACCTTGTCTGCGTCGGGAATTAGGTAATACGTAATCGCAGCTGCGGGCATCAGCGGGGCAGATTCTGACGAGGTCATGTGATATGAAGCGATGGATGAGTTTATCTTATCAGAAAGAGCAGACCTAAATCAACTACAGAGTAAATACCAGGTAGTTGAGACTAGAATCCCCCCGTCATTCCTGTCAACCATTCTTATCCTCGTTTCCCTTCTCGAACCCTCAAAAGACCAGTGCTTTGCCATTGCCGGCTCGTCACTATACTGTGATTGAAGAGGTATGTACTGTGCAAGGCCTGATAGCTGAGCAAAAGATATTCACCCGGGCTGTTGAGGCACCCGAGCACAAATATCTCAAGGGAGATTCTCATGGACAACTCTATCGTGCCCTAGAGAACGTGCCGGTCCTCCAAGGATACCACCGTCCCAGAATGACTCCATTCCCTTCTGATGAAACCTGCGAACCCAACCAGACTGTAACTCCAACAACAGCTGGAGTGGCGAAGAAAAGTTGGCCATGATCCTAGGCTCCACGACGTCGTCAAAGATTGTTAACAGCTGAATGAGGACAGAGCTGGTCCGCCTAGGTCGGTGTGTTTTGCTGCGCTCACAAATGCCTGAGATGGCTCTAGCCTAGCCTGAGCAATGGCGAACGCGGCGGTGAGTTCCGCTGCTCCAGAAGCCCCAGGATTTACAGCGACGTCGTCGAGAAAAAAAGAGAACTCTTTGTTTGACTTCATTCATCGTAATCATACAATCCCGCTTATATTTTCCACTGCCAAGAGGGGTATCATGAGGAAAAAGAGGCATGATGATGATAAATCATTTCCGTGCTTGTTCTCTTTCAACCTCATACATGAAGTCGAAGTAGGGTTTGTCGAAGGCGTGCAGTCTCACGTAGCCGTCTTCGCTGCCACTGGCATATCCAGTTCCTTGCGGATGTACCGCGATGGTATTCAGCGGGCCGAAGTGACCCTTGATACGGCCGATCTCATCCTCAAAAATCTTGTGATAAAATCTTGCCTCGAATTTGCCTTGACGGGCCGATGTCGTGGTCACTTCCATCGCGGCTTGGCCACCACCTAGGATAACAAAATCTTTCTTGGACGTAATAGCGGCAGTGTTGAGGGGGGTGTCGGCGACGTAGGTTTTCAGGATGCTTAGGTCTCGGGAGGATATGAGCTGGGCAGATCATTAGCACGAGCGCATTGCAGGGCCTTTGGGCAGTTTGAATTTGAAGACAACAAACCTTGGCACTCTTGTCTTTGCCGGCAGTGATGAAGTAGGTTCTGTCGGGCGAAAATTGCAGGTCGTTGATAGTGGTATCGTATTCATGCGCCTCCACAACCATTAAACTTTCGCCTGTCTACACACGGTGTCAGTTTAGGTTTCATTCGGTAATAGGATGGGCCATACCTTTGCATCCCACTGTTGAACTGTTCCGTCTTCGTGACCGGAAATGATATATTTGTCCAAATAACTCCACCCGGCGACCGTGGCTTTGCTATCTTCGCAGGTGATCTTGAGACTGTGCTCATCGGTCTGGTCTGTAAGATCATCTCCGTATCGAACGTCATAGACAACAATTGTTCCCAGATAGCCCATTCGCTTTTCCGTCACAGCAAGCAGTTGCTTTCCATCCTCGCTGAACTCGACCCGTTTGACAGCAGTTGGAAATTCCCAAGTCTTGACGCATTCTCCTGTTCTGATATTCCACAGCTTGATTGTGTTGTCGGCGGCTCCAGAAGCGAGAAGAGTCGTGTCAGGGGATACATCGATGGTCCAAATTGCACCTTGGTGGCCGTTGTATGTTCCTAGTCTTTCTCCGTTGCTGGTATACCAGGCACCTATGACCTTGTCTTTGGCAACTGAAAATAGCAGATCGCCTTCTTTGTTGTACTTGATCTGGTTGATCGACCGCTCCTGGATCTTGGTCAGCGCAATCCTCGTCTGAGTTTTCGGGGCGGACGCACATGGCCTTGCAACAGTACAGGCCTCATTTTGAAAGTTGTCTTCTCCGAAACTCACTCGAGAATCCTCCAGTCAAGTCGGAAATTGGTAAATTTTCGAGAGCAAGGTCGGCGATCTAAGGTGTCGGGACTGAATTATAGCGGTCACGGTTGCTGAGGTTGAGGCGATGTGGGAATTTGCTGGCCAAGACTGCGTTTCGCTGAGTCACGATATTTGCGAAAACTCCCGGACATGACTCGCGTACTCAATTCCTCGACAATTTCATGACTCTGAAAAATTCATCTCAACCTTTACCCTGCTTTAGATGATGGCTATACGCGTAGAACCGGCATTAACAACGTCTGGCTCTCCCGTGAGTTCGTTCTACGGAGTTGCCAATCTTTGACATGGCCAGCAGATTGACCAGTGCAAGTCGCATGAGAGTCACTTCTGTAGGTCACAAATATTTCTCCAAAATTAATACTCCCCGGCCTCCGAGTTTACCCTTCCAATCTACTCTCTCTCAAAATCGAACAATCAGACCTGCACCCGTACTTAGCTTGATTCGCAGAGGGAGTTCAAAGGCTTGCAAGGCCCCTGCCAGCTCTATCCTGTCCTCAGATATCTCAGTTTCATACCTGCGAGCTTCTATCCCTGCAGGTGGTGCGGTACCCACGAGATCACCCCCACTATCACAAGCAACCGGACGACGAAATTTCTCCAGTACCAGAACAGCCATGGGGGCAAGCAAAATCGATGGCAAGGCAATCGCCCAGAAGATAAGAGAGCGATTAGCTACCGAGATACACCAGAAGCAAAAGGTCAATCCACGGTACAAGCCGTGCCTGAAGATTATTCAAGTTGGAGACCGACCTGATTCCACCACATATGTCCGCATGAAATTAAAGGCTGCCGAAGAAGCTGGTATAGAGTGCGCTTTGGTCCATCTCCCGGACGACATCTCCGAGCCTGAGCTCGTGCAGCAACTTACCGAGTTCAACAATGACCCGTCGATCCACGGGATACTTGTCCAATTGCCTCTGCCTAAGCATCTTTCGGAGCACACGATTACCTCTGCCGTACTCGATGAAAAGGATGTTGATGGATTCGGAGCTACAAACATCGGAGAACTTGCAAAGAGAGGCGGGAAGCCATTCTTCGTCCCATGCACCCCAAAAGGGGTAATGGTCCTTCTAGAGGAGACCGGCGTGGAGCTCAAAGGTAAAAACGCCGTTGTTCTCGGCCGAAGCGACATTGTGGGCAGTCCCGTCAGCTACCTTCTGAAGAATGCAGATGCTACCGTCACTGTGTGCCATTCCAAGACGAAAAACGTGAAAGATGTGGTCAAACAAGCCGATGTGTTGGTCGCTGCCATTGGGCAGCCCGCCTTTGTGAAGGGTGACTGGCTGAAGCCCGGGGCTGTAGTCATCGATGTCGGCACCAACTACATTCCTGATCCTTCCAAGAGCTCAGGCCAGCGACTTGTGGGAGACGTGGAATTTGAGACTGCAGTAGAGGTTGCCTCCTACATTACACCAGTGCCTGGGGGTGTTGGTCCTATGACAGTGGCTATGCTTATGCAGAACGTTGTCGACGCTGCCACGACCTACTTTGAAAAACTGAAAGCCAGGCACATCACGCCGCTACCCATCAAGCTTCAAAAGCCGGTACCCTCGGACATTGCCATCTCGCGTGCACAGCATCCGAGGCATATCACCCAGATCGCCGGTGATGTTGGCGTTGCGCCGCATGAGCTGGAACAGTACGGTCCGTACAAGGGCAAAGTAGATCTCTCCCTACTGTCAAGGCTCGAGCACCGCAAGAACGGGAAATATATCTTAGTTAGCGGTATTACTCCGACTCCTTTGGGAGAAGGAAAATCCACAACTACGATGGGTCTAACCCAAGCCCTAGGAGCACATTTGGGCAGGTTGACCTTCGCCAACGTGCGACAGCCAAGTATGGGTCCGACTTTTGGTATCAAAGGTGGTGCGGCAGGCGGTGGCTACAGTCAAGTCATTCCCATGGATGAGTTCAACCTCCATCTGACGGGTGACATCCACGCCATTACTGCTGCGAACAATCTATTGGCTGCAGCCATCGATACACGCATGTTCCACGAATCGACTCAGAAGGATGGGCCTCTCTACAAGAGGTTGGTACCTAGCAAGAAAGGGAAGCGCGAATTCGCTCCTGTTATGTTCCGAAGGTTGAAGAAGCTCGGGATTGACAAGACCAACCCTAACGATCTGACGGAAGACGAGATTCGCCGATTTGCACGGTTGGACATTGACCCTGACTCCATCACTTGGAGGAGAGTGCTCGATGTCAATGATAGGCATCTGCGAGGTATCACAATCGGACAGGCTCCTACCGAGAAAGGCCACTCCCGACAGACAGGGTTCGATATTTCTGTTGCGAGCGAATGCATGGCTATCCTTGCCTTGAGCAATGACCTCCGAGACCTTCGCGAACGTCTTGGCCGGATGGTCATTGGCTTCTCCAAAGCTGGCGATCCCGTTACCTGTGATGATATCGGCGCCGGTGGTGCTCTGACTGCTCTGATGAAGGATGCCATCAAGCCAAATCTCATGCAGAGTCTGGAAGGAACGCCAGTCTTTGTTCATGCGGGTCCATTTGCCAACATTAGCATCGGCAACAGCTCTGTCTTGGCCGATAAGTTGGCTCTGAAGCTTGCTGGGACTGAGCCAGACGAAGACCATGAAGCCAAAGCTGGATTTGTGGTCACCGAAGCTGGCTTCGATTTTACCATGGGTGGTGAACGGTTCTTCAACATCAAATGCAGGTCGTCGGGTCTCGTGCCCGACGTTGTGGTTGTTGTTGCCACCATCCGTGCATTGAAGGTGCACGGCGGCGGTCCAGAGATCTCCGCCGGAGCCCCTCTCCCGGAAGCTTACCGAAGCGAAAATGTGGACATGCTCCGGGCTGGTTGCGTGAATCTGAAGAAGCACATCGCTAATGCCAAGTCGTACGGAATCCCGGTTGTGGTTGCGATCAACAAATTCGACACAGACACCGAGGCAGAGCTCAAGGTCATTGAAGAGGAGGCCCTCGCTGCCGGTGCTGAGGCAGCTGTACCGGCGAATCATTGGGCTGAAGGCGGCGCGGGCGCGGTTGATTTGGCAAAGGCGGTGATTGAGGCTTCATCCAAGCCCAAGGATTTCAAACTGCTCTACGACCTCGAGGGCGGTGTCCAAGAGCGGATCGAGAAGATCGGCCGGGAAATGTACGGCGCGGCAAAAGTCGAATTCAGCGAGTTGGCTCAGCAAAAAGTCGACATGTACACCAAACAAGGGTTCGGCAACTTACCCATCTGCATTGCGAAGACTCAGTATTCTCTCAGCCACGATCCGGCTTTGAAGGGTGCCCCGACCGGCTTCACGGTCCCGATCCGCGATGTCAGACTCGCCGTCGGAGCGGGATACCTGTATGCGCTGGCAGCTGATATCCAGACGATCCCCGGTCTTCCCACAGCTCCGGGCTATCTGAATGTCGACGTGGACTTGGAGACAGGCGAGATCGATGGCCTGTTCTAGCGGGTGGGAGGGGAATGCTTATATATACATGTTTGACGACTTTCAACAACTAGAAGAGATACCCATTTCAACACATTCAGGTGGTAGATTGAACAGTGAAAGGATTTCCAAATCATCAAAATCTTGGAGAGAGAATTCCGGTCATTGTGAATTATTGTTATGGTGACTTCTCCTGGGAACGTACGATCCTTGCTGCACCACAAGACTCTCGTCTTTTAGATACGGGCCTTTTCTTGCCTTGGATCTTCAGCTTCTTGAGGGTTGCCCCTGATCTAGTATGATCTACTCTGTACACCGCAGACACGTCTAACAAAGATTATGGGGGGTTCTTCAGAAGTGTTGTCCAAAATAACCTCAGTCCTCCTCTCTTCCATGCTTGGTGAGAAGCAAGAGGAAAGCCGATGGAATGGGGCCGGTCAAGTGGAAAAACCTGAACCTTATATTCAAACTTTATCCCCACGTTCCCACCGGCCAATCCCGCATATCAAGCCCCTCATGAGGCTCCCGTTTTCTCTTCCTCTTCCTCTTCCTCGATCTGGACAATCTACTCTACAGGGTCAGGCTTGAGCTTTTCGACAAGTTGGCGTCTACTGCCGTTGCGACCGCCACAGCCTCACTGAGAACTGAGAACTACATGGCCCCTCGTACCGCAAATGTCCACGCCATTCGACTCGATTCGGCCTGAATTGCCACACATGCCCTGCGTCGTTGGGGCCAACAAGCGCGACGCGAGGAGCTACAAGTGGCAAGTGGAGCCAACAAGAAGTCTCGACTCTCGACTCTCGACTCGATACGGAGTAATTACTGTTTGGTAGGATGCCAAATGTTTGTTCCCTGCGCAGAGACTAGCAACCATTATTGAGGAGTAAGCTGAGACCTGGGGGAACAATTCTCTCTTCAGCAGCACCGCTAAATGAACCGGGCCATTTCCGATAGGCGGACTACAGAGTCGTAGCTTGCTTCGGCGGGGAACTCGGCTTCATCTCGTAGTACGTAACTTGGTCTCCCCCTGGGGCATGCTATACCGTTCTATCCGTAGTATGAACTCATTATTGACGGCTGCGGGGTCACGCGCGGCAGAAAATAATATTCAGAGAGGGCCTATTAGTACTCTATACTTGGTACCTTCTACCTAATCCGTGGAGGTCCCGTTGAACTAGTACCGGATGAAGGAGACACTGAGGTGCCTACAAGGCAAGGATGCTTGCCGTTGAACCGGCGGCTCCAGGGCATCGAACTCGGGCGGTGGGCGGTGAGCATAGTGATGGTGATGGTGATGGGGGATGGGTAATGCGTGATGGGTGATGCGTCGTTGTGTTAAACACGATGTGGTTTCCCGGATGTGGTCTAGCGCGGAACATAGGGGCGGCAAATCCCGGGTAGAGCTGACAGGCGTCAGACGAAGCTCTTGGTCGCTGGGGACCCCGGCACTCCCCAGGTTCTGACCCTGCACAATTCTGTCAGGCGGGTCAATGAGAAATCAATTTTCGACTTACAAACACCAGACGCAGTATTCTCTGACACTCACACCAACCTGGCTTCCTACTCCCACCCTCTGCTCGTTCCCGGAAGAAGCCCGGTACATGCTCTTGGGCTCCTTCTCAAGCTGTTGAGCCGTTGAGCTCTCGAGCTGTTGAGCCGTCGAGCTGTCGAGCTTACACAGTGAGTCACGTCATCCACCAACAGAGTCAGAGTCTCCTCGGATTACCTCAGAGAGGTCTCGCTCCCCGTCAACAATCCCTACTGTTGTCCGAAGCATCCCTCTCAAGAAAGAATCATTCCACCCCTGTCTGTGGACGCTCATGCCAACCGAAACATGTCGGTGTCTTCGACAAGGCCCGATCCACGACGGACAGGAGGACGGCTGTCGTGTGACTTATGCAGGCGTATGAAAGTAAGTCGTCCCAAGTTGCATTACTACCAGGGGCCGTAGGTCCTTCATCTCCTTCATCTCCTTCATCTCCCGGTGCCGTTTTTGATGCTTGGGGCTGCCAACACATCATGGGCGCCCCCCTGTGCCTGTGCGCAGCCTACGGAATTGGAAGAATAGTGTTGGGTTGCTGTCCTTTCAGTACGGCGGGTGAATCAGTACTAATGCATCCATCTGTCTAGACAAAATGTGATAGGCAGGGTAATTCGTGCTCCAACTGCCGGCCACGAGGCGTCCAATGCGTCGTCACTCCCATGACCAGAAAGGTGAATAAGATGAAGAGGTACCGTCCCAGCCAAGTCCCCACAACAGCACTATTCGCTAATCTGTAATGTGCTGGATCGTTGCAGAGCCGACTTTCTGCATTCAATAGAGTCTCGTATCGACCGTATGGAATCGCTGCTCCAGTCGGCCATTCCAGATCGTGGCGCAGCCGCAGCGGCGCAAGGCAGGAAGCCACAGAGTGTGAGGCCACCCGAGCCCGTCCCGATTGAGGGACAACTCGCCAATCTAGTCATCAATGAGACCGGGTCGGAAAAATATATCGGTAGGCAAAGACCATTGATATTGATTTGGCGCCGGCATCATTCTATGGGTTTATTCTGAACATCTCTGTCTGAATAGGCGTGGCTTCTGGATTGTCTATCCTTTCACCGCGAGGCCTGGCCTGGATCGAGAAGAAGACTGGGTCGAACAGAATGAGAGGAGTCTTGCTGAAATTCCAGCGTAATGGGATTTTATGGCCCTCATCCAGACTCGGCGACCAATGGAATGAGGTGACATCCGTCAAACACAACCTCCCGTCGAAGGAAGCTGCCATCCACCTCGTCAATCGTGAGTGTCCTCTCTGTTGAGTTCACCGCAACGAGTAACGTGGGAGTAGATTACTTTGACTTTTTCAATGTTTCATTCCCGCTTATCGACCGGCAAAAGTTTTGGGTATACTTTGAACGACAGTATAATGGGGGGGACGGCTCCTTGAAAAAGTCCTGGTTTGCCTTGTTTAACGCGGTGCTCTCCATCGGATGTATTACGGCCACAGATTTGGTGTCGACGAATGTGCTCATCTGCGATCCTTACAATTCCACCAATATGCCGGAGATGGCTACCAAGTTCTTACAGAACGCTTGTTCTGTCCTGTTGAATGTCTTCTTCGCGGATCCAGATCTCATGGCGGTGCAGGCGATGATCGCAATGGTAGCCATTCTCATTTTCATCCTCACCATGCTGGGAGTCATTGTGCTAACCGTTGGCCAGGCCTTCGTCATGCAAGCCATTATGAACCCCGAGGGGGCTTTCACTATCATAGGCACTGCCGCACGACTTGCTACTACTCTAGGTCTGCACCAGTGGCTTGAGGGGTTTGGTTTATCGAAGGCCGATCTCGAACAGCGCCAACGAGTGTTCTGGGTCCTGTACATTCTCGAAAAGGACCTGTCTTTCCGGATCGGTCGGCCTTCTGCCATCGATGACAACGACATCCAGCTCGAAGCCGCCTTGAGTCGAGTGTACAACGACCTGGCGATCCCCGTATCTTTCAAGACCAAGGACAATCGCAAGTTCTATGCGTTTAAGAGCATGTGCGGTCTGGCTGTCATCCAGAGCAAGACCTACCGCCAACTCTACCGCACCGATGCACGCGGAAAGACCGCGAGCGAGCGACTCAAGTCGATTGGCAACCTTGACGCAGAGCTTCAGGAATGGAAGGATCAATTCCCAGAGGAGATCCGGCCCGAACATCGCATACAGTGCGTCCTTGAAACCCGGTTTCCCATCATTGTCCTTCACTGTGGATATTATCACTGTCTAGCGGCCATCCATCGTGCGAATGCCATCCAAGAGCTATGGACCGCCGAAGCGGAAATGGTCGATGATGATGATTCCGCCGAGTCCGCGAGTCCCTCCGATAGAGCGTGGGCGAATACTCGAATTCAATCGTCGCACGCGCTCTGTCTAGCTTCAGCCCGGTCCGTCCTATATCTCTCGATCGAGTATCTGGATAGCTACAGTGACCCGCACAACAGCTTGATTTGGGTCGCCCCCTACTTCCCCATCATGGCGTTTCTCTTCCTGTTCACAAACATTTTGCAGAATCCGCTGGATCCGAGGGCGGACGACGACCAGGCATTGATGGAGGGAATCCTCAATCGGCTAAGTAGGACGACAATCACCGACGACGTGGCCGTGGTGATATTCATCAGTGACATTATTGGTGAAATCCTCGTCATCGTACGAGATCACGTCAAGAACGCAAGGGCAAGGTTGGCTGCAGCGCCCACGGAACAGTATGGTAAAGGGGGACCTCAGCCTTCGGGTGTGGCACAACAACCTCGCTCCTATATGCACAACGCGCCGGCTGGTGGAAGTCCCTTGTCCACCCCTAGCCAGACAACTTCGCAGCACTTCTACACCAACGGACAAACAGACCCGGCACCTGTTCAAGAGGGGCTCTTCGAACCGCCGCAATTCTATGGGTCCTTTTCAACTCAACCCCCATTTGCAAATCCGAATGTTCCTTCTTCCATCGATGTTGCTGCGAATCCCGGTCAGCCCTCCTCGCAACCCCCAAGCACAGACGATCCCTTCTACATGTGGCAGTATGGCGAATGGGGTTGGACCAGTTGACCTTTGGTCCAGTCCTCCGACCCACATTGCATTGACTGCGACAGGGCCATCCCTCGTTGCTCGTGTTTGCGCCAACGTCTCAACAAATCGACCAAGTCCCTCACGGTTTGGCTGAGCGCTTCGATATGGATCCTGCGCTTTCGCTCAGCTTCATGGATGCAACAAAGGAGGGAATGTCACGTTACTGAAGAGGTTTGTATGTACTCCGCGCTCAGTCTTGCAGGGCGGATAGATCCAATCGTTGCATTCATAGAATTCTGGCGACCGATTGCGTGCAGAGTCGCCCACTTTGGTCATGTTGTGCAGGAAACAATTAAGGGCACAAGTTGTACATTGCCAGCCCAAAATGGGAGCTTGGGCTGGCCGAAGGGATGTCTGGGGTGACCTACTAATATATATATGCCTTGAGATGGACCTGATGAGTCACGGAGGGGATTGAGATTGACCGGGTTTATTTGGTTTTCTGGCATCATGCATCAAAGCAGGTTTTGGTTTTTTTTTAACGTGGCACGAAATGAATGCATTGGTTTTGGGTTCGATTTCGTCCGCGAGGCTCGGTTTGTCGGAATGCTGATGCTGCTGAGGCAGACCTCCTGAGGAACAAGGATATCTCGGGTGGCCGGGTACTTTACCAGACCGTCCAAACCTACCCTGGAGCCGGTGTTGTGCTAGATAGATGACTCGACATAAGCAAATACTGGACATTGCATGAGATCTTGAGCACCAACACCAGACTACGCTACCAAGCGATCAACACGTGGAGGCCAGTGCGGCGCAGCGATTAAGTGAAGCCGGAAGCAGCCCGGTCTGTTCTTTGCTTGTCTTGCCAATTGCATACTTTTACTTTGCCTGTCTGTTCTTTTACAAAGTCGTCTTTTGTATCATAGCCAGTCACCCGTGTAAAGTTCGGGTTAGACGAGGTCCCACAAATGGTCTTGATCCCCAGTCGTCAATTCGTTTCCAAACCCCTTTTCTCAACCCGGCGCCCGCGCCCTTGCCCCATCCTATCACGGCTTCGGAACGTGGAGCGTCTTGCTGACCATCAGGCAGCCATTGATGATAAACAGGAGGCCAACCGGGTGAAATTCGAGCAAAGTCCCCGGCAAGACCGTCCCCAACGGCAAGGAATCGTGTATCAGCCCCAGGAAGGTCCATGTTGCCATGACTGCGGAGCTGGTCAGGCAGGCGAAGGGGATGGGTGTGCCTTCGAAGTACTGAGACTTTCCAGTCTTGTCCTTAGGGAGCATGGCGACTGTCACATTGAATCTTGCCAATCTCGTCAATCCGGAGAGCACGTAGAAGGTCAGGAACAACTGGTCAACATTGGTGCGAAATCCTATGGCGAAGGCCGCGGCGGCAGGAGCTAGTCCGAAAGAGACCTACACAGTTGTCTATCAGATGTTGCCGTCGCTGAGAATAAGTGATACTGTGTCATGCATACCAGATCAGCCAGTGAATCCAGCTCCTGCCCCATCAGCGAAGACTTCTGCCTCCACCGTGCGACTTTGCCATCGAAGAAGTCGAAGAAGAGTCCGAATGGCATGAGTGCGAACGCAAACCAAAGCTTGTTGACATCTTGAGGATCGGAAAGACAGTATCGCATGGAGAAAAGTATAGACATGACTGGACCACAAAAATTAGATGCGAATGCGAGCGTAAGGGACGTGGACGAGGCACATACAGCCACAGAAACCTGGTCATCAATCAGCATATTATCCCTGCGGAATGATATTCGGCGCACTCACCGTTCATCTCGGTGATCAGATCAGCCAGGTGCAATGCCCTAACGTCGCGCGTCAGTTTCGAAGTCCACATCACCAGTACCGATGCAACTACCTGATCATGCTGAAATGGCCGGTGTCCTGAGCTAACAGCATTGCTTGCTTCTGTTGACTGTTGTTTGTTGGTTCGACAGAGGTTTCTTTCTCACCGGCAGTGGTCGCACCGGCTCTTCGTGACATGGCCGCAGACTTCTGAGTAGAGTGAACGCGGGTAGAGTGGCTCAAAGACGACGAAATTCATGCAGAACAGCGACGGGAGGTAACGAAGGGTGTGATATAGACAGGGAGAAATCAGAGGGACCGCGGTACCTGGGAGGTGAGAATACGGGATAGAGAGCAATAGTTACGTTCCTGGTCGGAGAAACAGGGCGCAGCCACGTCGCTTGATGACGAGCCACAATTTTGTCGTCATGGTGCATGCAATTTCAATTACGGCCTCCAGGTACGGATACTAGGACTGGCTGGTCACGTGCCAAGCAGCAAATCCCCCGAAAGGAAAAACGGCTGCAGCTGCATATGCGTACTAACATAGTGCGGATAGTACGAGAGTACGGAGCACAGAGGCATCGAGGATAACTTGCCCAGAGGGCACCCTTCTGTCCCAGCAATACCTCTTGTCATACAGTGTAGTATCTTCCCATCCCCAGCCTTATCCATACTTTTCTGATGGGTATCCTCCTCAACGCCGGAATAATGACAATGCTTCAGTAAAGACGGTTGGCCGTCCAGACCAAGATGTCTAGAACCTGCCCCGGCCTCGCGAGCCGCCTCTTGGGCCACCTCGTCCGCTCGAGAAACCGCCTCCACGGCTGCCTCCTCTGGGCGCGCCTCGACCACCACCGCCGAAAGAGCCGAAAGAGCCTCTGCCCCTCGGTGCGCCTCGTCCTCTAGGAGCACCACCTCCGAATCCTCGTCCACCTCGAGGCGCGCCTCGGGCACCTACTGGCTTCTTGACTCTGACTGAACCTACAGGAATATTAGATGCGTGCCTGAGTTGACCGAAGTGCAGGGACTTACCTGGGGGTGGTTTAGGCTTGGGGAGAAACCTGTCAAATCTTAGTACAATTCTTCCTCCAGCGCCAACCGCACGACTCACTTCTCCAGCGGTAATAACTTGTCTCCTCCAATGTAGAATTTGTCTCCAGATTTGAAGGATGTGGCTTGAATGCCCTCCTGCGGTTTGATCGTAAAGTAGACCTGGTTGATGGGCCCCAGGATCTCATCCACCTTGCCTATCGTAGTCTGCTTCTGTCAGAGGAGTCGCAAAGGGAGGGACGAGGCCGCGGACCTTATTCTCCAGGTATATCGGGGCGTTGAAGTAAGGGATCTTTGCGTTGACGGACTCGCAGACCATTTCTCCCTCGGTCGCATGCAGGAACTTGCCCATTTCTGCATCCAAGTCAGCGGTGAACGGTGAACAGGGACAGAGACATCTCAAGACTCACCAAACACCTGTGCAGGGGGACCGAAACTCTGCGGTTGGAAGCCACCTCGTCCTGCGCACCACCATGTCAGTCCAGTCCGTTTTGGCGCAGGGAAATTGTTGTGCGCGGAGACTTGAATTACCTCCACCTCTCCCTCCAAACCCTCCAAACGATCCTCTTCCTCTATCACCACCTCGGAATCCGCCACGACCGCGCGAATCGCCTCGGAACGCCATTGTTGTCGGCTTGTGTTGTTGGCAGAAAAGGTTGTGGTTTCGACGAGACTGATTCCTGGGGAGAAACAAAATTATTCGTTTTGCTCCCCCGATGTTCAGAGTTGCATGCAGATTCGGCAAACACGTGACTGACACCTCAATTCGACACCGTACCCACTGCCACCACAATTATTCCACGACTCTGCCGCGGAGCTTTATCATGAGCCATCAGAAGAAAGCGAGTCTGAATCCGCATGATCTTTGGGGTGTTTTGAGAGGCTCGAATATGGCTGAGAACGGTACGCCTGGCCCTGGTCGTGAGTCATCGACCCCTGAGTCCCACACCTCAAAACGACCGACCAGCCCAACTTCAAGCAAAAAGGTCCCTAGCAGACCCAAAAACATGTCTAGCCAGGCAGCGCCCGCGGGCGGTGAAGCACCGAAGTCGTTGCCCGACTTCATCCTGGAGAGGAACCGACTCTTCGACCAACTCAAGAAACAGCGCGACGAAGAACTGGCCCGTAAGGACAAAGCTGCCATCCAGATCCAACTGGTCCCGGCCCCTGGCCAGGAAGCCACGATTGAAGGCAAGGCGTGGGAAACCACTCCAGGCCAACTGCTGAAAAATGTCCCCAAAGAGCGCGCCGGCCAGATTGTGGTCGCCAAGGTTGACGACAAGCTCTGGGATCTCGACCGCCCGCTCGAAAAGGACAGCAAAGTGTCTTATCTCACCTTCGACGAGCCTGAAGGCCGTGATGTCTTCTGGCACTCGTCTGCCCACGTGCTGGGTGAATGCGCGGAGCACGAGTACGGCTGCCGACTGTCCCACGGTCCTCCAACTGCAATGGGCTTCTTCTACGACATGGCCCTCGAGCCCGGCCACTCTGTGAGAGAGGCAGAGTGGCCGTCACTGGAAAACCGGGCTAAGAAATTTGCCAAAGAGAAACAGGCCTTTGAACGGCTTGAGGTCTCGAAGGACGACCTGCGCAAGATGTTCGGTTACAGCAAGTACAAGATGCACTATATCGAGAAGTTCGTCCCAGACGGCGAATCCTCCACGGTCTACCGAAATGGTACGCTGGTGGATCTCTGCCAGGGTCCGCACATCCAAAACACGCGCAAGATTGAATCGTTCAAGATCATGAAGAACAGCTCGGCCTATTTCCTGGGCGACCAGAGCAACGACTCGCTCCAACGCATCCACGGCGTGGCGTTCCCCAGCAAGCAGCAGCTCAAGGAGTGGGAGCACTTTCTCGAGGAAGCCAAGAAGCGCGACCACCAACTCATCGGCCAGCAGCAGAAGCTCTTTATGTTTAGCCGATTGTCGCCTGGGTCGCCGTTCCTCCTGCCCCACGGAGTTCGTATCTTCAACGCCCTACAGCAAATGCTACGCGAGCAGTACTGGGATCGCGGGTACCAGGAAGTGCAGACGCCGAACATGTACGACGTGGATTTGTGGAAGACGTCGGGCCACTGGCAGCACTATCAGGACGACATGTTTCGCGTGGTGGTCAAGGACGACTCGGCCGAGCCCATGCCTCTGACCGACCAGAAAGCCGACGGCAAGCCCATCGCCGAGATCAAGGACAAAGACAAGGGCGTGTTCGCGCTCAAACCCATGAACTGTCCGGGCCACTGCCTCATGTTCCGCGACGAGGAGCGCTCGTACCGCGAACTGCCGTGGCGGGTGGCCGACTTTGGCGTGCTGCACCGCAACGAGGCCTCGGGCGCCTTGTCCGGCCTGACCCGCGTGCGCAAGTTCCAGCAAGACGACACGCACATTTTCTGCACCAACGAGCAAGTCCAGACCGAGATCGAAGCCCTGTTCGACTTCATGGAGCACGTCTACGGCCTGTTCGGCTTCCCGTTCAAGTTCAAACTGTCCACCCGGCCAGAAGGCTACATGGGCACCTTGCAAGAGTGGGACTCGGCCGAGGCGCGCTTGAAGCAGGCGCTCCAGAACTTCCGCGGCAACGACTGGGAGTTGAACGAGGGTGACGGCGCCTTCTACGGCCCCAAGATCGACGTGACCATCTCCGACGCCCTGAAGCGCGAGTACCAATGCGCCACCATCCAACTCGACTTCCAAGGGCCCCAAAACTTCAAGCTCGAGTACCGCACCGGCGAGAGCGCCGAGGCTGTGCAATCGCATTCCTCCGAGCGTGACGCCAAGGGCCTTACTCCTGGCATGGCTCGCCCCGTCATGATCCACCGCGCCATTGTCGGCTCTTTTGAGCGCTTCATTGCCATTCTGTGTGAGCATTTCGCCGGCAAGTGGCCCTTTTGGCTGTCTCCGCGTCAGATCCTCGTCATTCCCGTCATGAAGGCGGCCGAGGACTATGTGCGTGAGATCCAGTCCATTTTCCACAAGGCCAGGATGTACGTCGACATCGACGTCAGCGGAAACACCCTGCAGAAGAAAATCCGTTCTGGCCAGCTGGCCCAATACAACTTTATTTTTGGTAGGCAAACCACCCCTCGACCCTTCCTTATCAAATCATCCACTTTGCCTTTTCCTTTTCCTTTTCCTTTTCCTTTCCCTTTCCCCTTGGCCGGACTTTCATGTTAGGCAAATGACAGAGACTGACATCTATCTACTTCTTGCAGTGGTTGGTGCCAAAGAGCAAGAATCCCGCACAGTCAACATCCGCAACCGTGACGATCCGGCCACGCAGAAGATGGGCGAACTCATCCCGTTGGAGAAGGCGCTAGAAAGACTCACCAAGCTGCGTGACGAGAGGCAGCTCGAGAACAAGATTGACATGACCCATTAGGTGTCCGTCAGGGCCAGCCTAGGGTAAGGTCGTGCTCATTTGTCACGGGGGACCTAGCTTTGTTGCCACAGTGCAAATTCTTGGGCATATCAAGGACTAGAAATTCAAGCCAGGGCGAGTGCATTCCGTAGGACCGGGAGCTGTGGATAAACTATGCCAATCTATCGGAAGAGGAGTCGTTGCACGTCTGAGGTAGAACCATGGATCACGCGAATCGTTCTCGTATAGCATGTTTGCCTTAACAGTCCATTCTGGCGTATTGATAGATCAATGGGAAGAAGCTTCGCGAGTGGTCACGGACCAAAAGAGAAAGAGGACCCAACGCCGCCGTGTAATACGCACGGTATCCCATTGCATTCATTTTCACGATTGATAGACCTTTACACATCCCGGCGCTGTCCTTCGAAAACAAACCTCAGGCAGAAGAATGAGCAGAACCTCAGAAGACACAGCTATGCTGCCTGCTCGGGGGTCTCCCCCTCTGCAACAACCGGCACAGGAAGACCACGACTAGGACTCTGCAAAACCAACGCCTCATGCCGTCTCGCACGCATGAAGTCGGAAACTGCCCGTATGAGAATAAACCAGCCAACAATCATCAGAACATAGGATATCCAGTCGGCGCTTGTGAAGCCACCCATTCCACCTTTTGCCTGGTTGTCTAAGCCATCGACAGCACCAGGGTCGAAATTGTGACTGTTTGGGTCCGGCGGCGATGAACTTGAAAACTGTCCGGGATTCCCAGTATCCTGGTTCCCGTCGCTTGAGCCGCTCATATAGAAACCATACTGGACCAGTGTTAAGCCTAAACCAGCTCGGCTACCGTGTTTGGCCGCATGGGTGGTATGGAGGAGATATGTGAGTAGAAATCCGACGAGTTGAAATGACATGGAAATCATGCCATTCCACACGAAAGAGAACACCGAGCCGACAGGAAGACCGTCGACATAAACCTCGTCGGACGACATGCCAGGTGCCAGAATCGTGGTCTCCCAATAAGGAGGAGTGGCGTCGGCGGCTGCCTGTTCATATGACTGGAGAAGAATCAGTATCGAGATCATCGCAGAAAGGGGAAAGAGGCGCTTACGGGAGGCTTTTCGTCCACTTGCTCACCGCGCTCGGGTTTGGCAGACAGGTTCGCAAAGACACCATCTGTCGCTCTCAGAGACGGTGGCAATGGTCTAGAAGCAGGGAGTTCTGTCACTCTGCGCTCGATTGCCGGTACTTGGCGAGTAGCAGGGCTAGAGGGCGTCGGAGGTGTGCCTTCTTGTCTTATGGTGGCGGGATCGGCTCTCATCAACCTTTGTCTGTCATCGCCATCGTTTTCTGCATCGGAACCCTCGCCATCATCAAAAGTGTCTGCCAGATCTTGATCGGCTTCGTTGGATAGGCCATCTTGGGCTGCTAATAGGCGGCGAGACGTCGGAGAGGATGCTCGAGATCGGAAAGAAGGGGGAGGTGAAGAAGGGATGCCATGGGGATGGTCAGATGAGATAGGAGAATCAACGTCGTCGTCGTGTGAGTTCACCTAGACAGAGACATGGTCAGCGACGCTCAGGGAGACAAGGACAGGATTCGTCAGCCTAATCACACGTACCGCTTCATATCGCTGAGGGGCCATCGCAGGAGTTGCAGTTGCAAGAGAAACCCCTCTCTGCACTACTCGAAAGAGCGACGCTCCAAAAGAAGGAGAGACGGCAACAAGGAGGTGAAGAAAATTAGGGAATTCAGGAATTCAGCGATTGCGATGGGAAGGGTGTGGAAGGACGTCGTCGATGGCCAGACGCTGGGCAGTTTCATCCCGGTCAGGTGCCTTGCCACGTCGGATGCGGGAGGGCCGAGTCCTGTGCTCCGCCGTATCCCCTGTACAATAATAATACGGCCACCTGCAACGACCAAACAGGGTTAGTCTGCTGCACCTGATCCCAGCGTCATCCAAAAATAATGCGCAAGCTGCGTCGATGCCGCGGTGCTCAGATCAAAGAAATCTCCATGCTCCCTGTATCTCTGCCAACAATCAACAGCTAATTGTCTACCCTTACCCAGCGGCCTTCAAACAACATGGCAACTGGGCGATCGGTATGTTCCCTCCGTAGATCGTGTCGTGTCCGTCCACTCAGAACTGACACCTTTTTCTAGGTCGCTGCACAGCATTGGGCGCGGATCATCAAGCGCTGGCCTGTCGACCGAGTGCGTCCAGAACACATTTCTTTCCAGAAGGTCATGCAAAGCCGCCTGCAGAAAGCCTCGTCTCCCACTGCCGCTACGGCCAATGTGAAAGCGAATGAAGGTCAAGTGTCGCCAGCTACTCCTCAGTTCGACGAGGCAAAGGAAATGCGGCAGATCAACGCTCTCTATTCTTTGCTTGAAGACCGATACTTCAAGGCGTACCCAATGCCAGCCAACTTGCGAAATCCGCAGAGCATGCCTACCCACTACGATGATGTGATCAAAGAAATGGACGAGGCTCCGACTCGGACATGGATTCAATCACTGATTCAGAGGGTCAAGGGTTCACTGCGTTTCTCCTGAGGATTTCGTCTGCAGCAAGAGATGGCAGCTTCATTCAGTATGAGCTAGATGAAGATATACACACACTCTCAAAGACCTGAGTGCAGTAATCCAACCGATTACCAGTTTGCGATACGAGCCGCATACAGTGTCAGGCGGATGCCGGAGTCTTTCGAACAAGACAATCTCAGCCTCCAGACCGCCTCTTGGTGGCACAAACGTCCAATCCAAGGCCATGACAGATGAGTGACCATCCCGTCTCAGGCCAGACGGTGTCAACCTTATCATCGAAAGTCGAAGTGAAAGAGTCCAAATCCAACCAGAATCCAAGGACAAGAAGTCCAGCTCGTCGTGCTACTCAGAAGCCTCGCAAGGAGTGATGTATGATATGAAAACACGCCCTAAGGAGTTGATAGGCGCAATGGGAGAGTGATGGGAAGGTATAAGGATGAAGGGGACTGGCGATATAGCTGAGGGTACAGTTTCTCCCCCGGGCATTTGATACGTGCTACTTTGTACACCAAAACGTCGAGAAGATAATGTCGGATTGTCTTGTCATATGCTAGCAATCGAGAGACTTGGATCTTTTCAAGTTCTAATGTGAATATACGACTTTATACTCCCTACAGTACCGCGTGACAGGGCAGCCGAAATAGCACTCCGAACGCTCGTTGGAGATCTTGATCGAAAAAGTCGTTTCCCCTCAATCCACTCTCACATTCGAGCCGCGGTTCAACGCATAGTATAACAGACCATAGCCGTAACCTGTACTCCGTACGTCTTCTACTCAATACCGTTCAAACAACATAGCAAGTCGCTTCTTTGCCATGTCTTCCTATACCCGCCTTTCTGCCATCCAGCACCAATATCCTCGATCGCCTTGAACGTCGACCCAAGCCAGCTTCAGCTCCAGCTAGCTCCCCCTCCCGCGAGCATGTCGAAGAACAACACCCTGAACCCGGTTGCATATACATATGGCGCCCCCAACACCGGGTCGACCGCCCACTCCATCCCGGTGCCGGAGCCGATCTCAGCGGTCCAGCATCACATGGCCGGGCTCCAGGTGACGGTATTCGGGCTGAACGAACTGCCCTCATCGGCCACCGAAGTCGCTGTTCTCTGGCTTCTCCACCCGCGGCTACAGTCACAAGCGTGCATGGCGCCGTTCGCGGCGCACCTCATCACGGAATGGAACCAACGACGATCTACGCGGCAGCACCATGCGAAAGGGGAAGGGGCCGGAAAGGGCTTGATAGCAGTCAGCTTCGACCAGCGCAACCATGGGACGCGGCTAGTCAGCGCGACAGCCAACGAAGCCTGGCGCAGTGGCAACGAGCAGCACGCGCTCGACATGTTCAGCTGCTATGCCGGCACCGCGGCCGACACGTCCCTCTTGCTCGACTACCTGGCGGGCTACGTGTTTCCCAACAACGAGCGGCGCATCGTGCAGAACCTGGTCCTGGGAGTCAGTTTGGGCGGCCATGCCGCCTGGCACTGTGTGATGCACGACCCGCGCATCAGCGCCGCCATCGTCACCATCGGCTGCCCGGACTATGCCCGCCTCATGAGCGATCGCGCCAGGCTGAGCAAGCGCCAGTCCTGGCTGCACGCGCACGGCCGAGACTTCTTCGGCTCGGCCGACTTCCCTCCCGCGCTGGTCGACGCCGTCCAGAAATCTGACCCTGCTGGCCTGCTCTGGTATTCCCGCGACGGCCTCAACAGGCAGCCGGGCCAGGAACACTTGTCCGACGAAATCACCCCCGAGGAAAAGGAGAGGCTGATGCCGCTCATGGCTCGCTGTCTCGCCAACAAGCGTATCCTCAACCTCTCCGGCGGCAGCGATAAGCTAGTCAATTACGCCCACAGCAAACCCTTCCTAGACTGGTTGAAAAATTCTATCGGCAAGGGAGGTTGGTTCGAGGGCGCCGGCCTCTATCTGGAAGACATTGTATACCCGGGTGTTGGTCATGACGTGCCGCCGACCATGGTGACAGCCATGGTCAAGTTTGTCAACGAGACGCTCGAAAATGAAAATGAACAAGTCTCCACGCAGGGGAAGCTAGGAAGTAAGATATAACGAGCCAGAGGTCGATAGGGTTTCCACAGCCTTAAATATCTCCTGATAGAATGTAATCTTAGCAAGGGGGCAGTTAGAGAGTGAACCGAGTCCAGGAAAATATGATCTAGAAGTGTGCTCAGGTTTCAATTGCATCAAGAAGCGATGTCTACTAACATATAGAAACACTTCTTCTGAGCAGGATGGGCCTAGGGCCTTCTGGCATACACAATAGGGTTGCTCAAGCGCTTGTACCCAGCGAGGATCGCAAAAATGAGGTCTAGCCGCCAGATGCTTGACCGACCGAAGTATCCCTCTCGGGATGGCTGCATCATCTGTCCGAGATCGGATCTAGTACCTTAACGCATTGACCGATTATAAAATCGACTGCTTCTTGATGCTGGGGTGCTGGGGTCGTCTTCATGTCATCATCGGTTGTATCTTGCGAGAGTGTCCATGATATTCTGTACATTTTGCTGCTGTGGCTGCTGCCCTGCCCCATAAGCTGGAACGCTACCATAAGTTGGCGAATGTTGCTGTTGTGCGGGATGGTGTGAAGAGGAAACAGCTTGTGAAGAGAATTGCCCTCCTTGCCCGTGTGTGCGGGCTACATTGCCGAGAAGAGACGCAAAGTTTGCTGGAGGTCTATCACTTTGGGGCGTGGAACTCGGCGAGTCTCCTGGCTGTCGAAGATTCGCTAGCAGCTGCTGCAAATTCGGCGCGGAGGTCGGGGTGACCACTGTTTGCAACAGAGCTGGGTAATGGGGTTGTTGTGCATACTGAACCTGAGGCGGATTCTGCTGTGGCTGTGGGAACGGCGGAGGCACTTGTGGCGGAAATTGAGATGGTGGATGGCCATATTGCCCGTGTGGATAGCTCGGCGGTGGAGGCGGCGGTGGGAAAGTTTGAGTGGGCGGCACTGCTCCTCGTTCTTTTTGTCGTGCGTGAAGCACAATATCTGCTGCGACTGGAACGTCAAGGTCAACATATTCATTGAAGTTGACATTTGAAGCTCCAATGCTCCTGTCGAAAACCTGCAGAGGGATTTTACTGTTGTATTGATTAGTCTGCGACAGCTTCACGACGGCCTGGACACCCTCAATGATCTGTCTTTTGACGACAGCTCCCAGAGGAAGTCGAGGACTGAGCCAAATGGTCGAAGCTCGCAGACCTTTGGCCCGGAATCCCTGTTCTATCCAGTTGATGAAGCTCTGTGCGACCGAAGGCTCAAGAATGAGGAGCTGTACGTCTGGCACTTCTCGTGGGTCTCTGCGAGGCAATGGTAGAGTAGCCTCCTCGTCGTATGCTGTTGGAGGCTGCGGCGGGAAGGTGCTAGAATACGGAGATCTCTGTCTTCCGTCAATGCCGAATCTCGGACTTGGTGCCTTTGCACGATAATCGTCCCGTGGGCGGAAGTTTCTGGGAGAGGGTGACCGTGCAGGACGATAGTCATCGCGCCTGTTTCTCTCCTCTCGGAAACCGTTGAAGTTGGAGCGGCCATGTCGATCATTCTGTCGCGCAGCTCCACGGTCTGGCGAGCGAGAGCGCCGTCGTTTGTTTCCTTGCGCGTTTCTCGTGTTCTTTTGGGGCTTTGAGATTTCCAGATCTAAAACAAATCAGCTACTGCAATCCATACACATAGGGCGGATAAACCCACGAATCTTGCGTCCTCGGATCTCAGACGCCTGTTCCGCTTGGAGAGCTGCTTGACAAGACGACGCCTCCAGGTATTGAACAAAGCCATAGGCCTGTTTGATAGAGATCTGAGCCAGCCGGCCGTACTTGTGGAAAACGTGAAAGAGGTCGCGTTTCGTGACCTTCTCTGAGGCAAGGTTGCCAACAAACAAGCGAGACCCCGCGGGGAACCTATCCCATATGCCTTCTGTCACATATCGCCGTTCCTCTTCAAGGAATTGGTCATACAGGCTCTGAGTCCTTGGGCTCCACGGACGCTCACTGGGATCGGTTGCTCTCGACAGTTCCACCGATTGAAGGGGATGACCAACAAAGCTGGCCTCATGGGTTGTTGGGGACGCTTTTGCAGCATTCTGATCCCAAGAACCCGGGGCTTGGGTGGGGACACTCTGGACCATGGATCGTACCGACCCAGATGCAGACGGCTCGGCGCCGTTGGCCTGGAGAGCATCATGACTCATGGGTTGGTATTGTTCTCGCAAGTCGCTTGTGGAGCTAGGAAACGCGTGGTAACTGGGAGACGCTGGAAGATTCGCTTGCACCGGCGGTTTTGGGGGTAGACCTGGGATTGGATGCAGTGGAAGGGCAGATCCATGGTCGACAAGCGATGGAGCAGCGGCTGGGGCAGAAACAGAGTCTGCGGGAGGAGCAGTGGAAGCAGATTGAGAAATGGTGTCGAGAAGTGACTGGTAATCTACTCCACCTGTGACTGACTGAGTATTGGGCTTCACGCTGGATTCTGGCTCGAAATTTCTTTCAGCACCTGACTGGAATGGAGTTTCTCGATGGCTTGAATTGGCATTAGCTTCAATCGTCGAGGATTCATTGCCCGAATGCGCGACAGTATGGGTTTGATCGGAGATGTCTTGGGAATGGGTTGGATGTGACTCAGATGCTTGATGCGCAGAGTTCTTTGCAAGGGCCGAAAGAAGATTGGTCTCTATGGTCGCGTCATGTCGCGTAGTTCGGCCATTTGTGTTTGGGAACTGTGCACCACTTTCGAGACGAGCATTCTCTTCCTCTGCGCCTCGCAGGAAATTCTGGACAGCGTCTCGTGCTCCAGAGTTGGATTCATGCACAACGCGAGCAGAATCTGAATAAGGAGAGAAGGTCTGGTTATGTGGGATGTTATAGGTCGCAGTGTCATTAAAGACAGGGTCCATTTGGTTCAACAGAACAGGAATGTTTGAAGGCTCAGGTAAATGGACAGGCCGCGGACTTTCGGGTGTCTGAGATCTACCGAAGCGTTGTGCTTCTGGAGGAGGGCTTGTTTCAGTCATCTTGAGGCGGCGCAATGCATAAAGGGCGACGCGAGGTGATTTGCCTGGGAGGCTGGCGACGTGGGGCAAGGCGATGGAGGAATTTGAGAACGGCTCAAGGACAGTCCAGTGGAATCACTGCAGAAATAGGAGAGAAAGAGGGCTAAGCAAGAGTAACTCTTGGTCATCAGCGGGAGAATGAGAACGGGAGTCAGAGGAGAAGAGATACGATTGTTTGTCTGGTGGTAGAAGGAATGAAACGAGCATAACGAATGGTCCGGAGGGGAACTGGAAGAGAAACACACAAAAGTTTCGAGGTGGCCAGAATAGTTGCTGCAAGTTGGGAGCCTAGTCACGTGACAGAGACCTGCGCCTTCTTTTGGGTACTCAAACAGACACTACCTGGCACCTAGGTGCCTGGTGCTACCACCGCTACTACAGGAACTGTTTGCAGCCGAGTACGGAGTACCTAGGTGAGCCCTACTAGGATCCGGAAGGGCATTGCTGGTCTGCAGATGCTGCGATGGGCCACAAGGCCAAGTGCCAGCGTTCTGCTGTCTTCTGGCCGACTTCAGCCGTTCCAACCTACACCGAGATCATATCCGTCAAGGGCCGAGATTCGTGAACCTGATTGTACTGCGGCGCGGGAATGGTTCAAGGATTTCAACGCCCTAAAATCATTGCGCGATATTGGGGAATTGACCTACAGTCGGTCCAGCGGTCCTGGCGGACAGAACGTCAATAAGTATGGCTGGCCTACGCATTCCGCTGTGGTCATGATCTTATGTTTACTGTGACAGGGTCAATTCCAAAGCACAATTGCGCGTTCCCATCAGCCGCCTCTTCCCCTTGATTCCTCCTGTCTTGCACGAAGGTATCCTCGCTTCACGATACTACGCGCAGAGTTCGTCTAGCCTTGTGATACAGGCGGATGACAGTCGAAAACAGCAAGCCAACAAGGAGACATGCGTTCGCAAGCTCGTCCAGGAAATTGTTGATATATACAACCGTACGATACCGGGAGAAACATCAGCGGATCAAAAGGACAAGGTCAAGAGGCTTCAAACAGCAGAGAACGAATCGAGATTAAAGAGAAAGAAGCTGCATTCAAGCAAGAAGCAGTCAAGGTCAAAGAGTAATATGGATTGATTCATTGACTAAGGACGGCGTCCCAGCACCTCACGTTGTACCGTTCAACTCGGGGGTGTTGAATGATCTCAAGACCGAAGTTGCAACCATCTTGATCGCTGGATCTAGTTCAGGCGTTTCGAGAAGCCTCTGTAGCCAAGTCTTTGCCCAGGTCGAGGTTTCAGGACTGTCTATTTCCGAACGCGCCTCCTTGAGTCGTGCCAATGCCTGTCTCAAAGCTGAGGGGAACTCGGGCGAAGAAGGAGGCAGCGATACCAGCGGGAGCTGAATGAGGCACACTTGACTGCACCAACTCTGCGGGTGTTTCTCGGACAACCGTGTTGCAATGTGATATGCGATCCTGCGACAAGGCGGAAGGTCGTTAAATTCGAGGACCGCGTTGAAGAAGTCGTACCCGACGGTAGGATCACTAAATTGATCCATCGCAGCATCAAACACTGCAATGGGAATGGCACCACTCAGTGCTGGTGTGGATTCCAGGTTCTGCAAGGCCGAGTTGTCGGCTTCGTGGCCTTCGACATCCGGGTTGATATCCATAGCCGTCAGCTTGGGCAGTTGCAGGAGATTTTCCTCTTCCTCGGATGTCGCTGCAGCTCTGCGTTGGCCGTCTGCAATTCCCAAGATCTCTCGTCGAGCGTGGATTTTGGCAATGTAGGTGAGCTCCAGTCTTGCATATTCCAGCCATAGTGCGCGAGTCCGTTTGCAAAATCTCAGCCCTCGCTGCATGTAACTCCTTGCCTCCGTCATGTCTCCGTTCTCCTCCATTGCAAACTGTGCAGCATAGATCCACAAGTCCGGCTTCGTGGGATGTAGCCGCAGGACACTGGTAAATATCTCCTGCAGTTTTTTGTATGCTCTTTGTTTCCTTGCGAATTCTATTGCCTGCAGCCAAAGGGCGACATCACCAGGATGTTTCCGTGTCCCTCGGTCGAAGATGAAGAAGATACGCCGCTTGCCATTGTGGGCTGTCGACTTGATCCCCAGTCTCTTGACCCTCTTACGCCTCAAGGCATCCACGTTCATCTCGAACTCTGCATAACGAGCGTAGTCTGTTGGCGTAGAACCTCTTGCGTTAATCTTATGCTCGAAGTCGGATCGCTTGCGGGCGATACTGGTGATTTCATCTCGACTGAAGATCTTCTTTCGCTCATACTCTTTCAGTTCCGGCACTGATTGCTCAAGAAAGTAACGAGCCTTGTCGCTAGCCGCAGCCATATTATCCCCGGTGCAAGCCCTCTTTTGTTCGATTCAGCATCTGACGCGATGCTGGGCTTTCAGTGATGACTTTCAGGTGGAGTATTAAGGAAATTCAGGGAACTTTTTTTTTTGAGGAATTGGAGATGCAGGATTCGCCCGCAGTTTTCGATTCGCCGCGGCGGCGGCCCCTGCGAAGATCAGGGGCTTTAAACCCGCGTCAGCCGCCATCCTTTTTCACGCGCAGCGCAGCTCGGTCAATAATCGAGTATCCTTTCCTCACACCCCTACTACTTCTCGTCACTCTTTCTTCTACGTTTGCATATTTATTCTGATGCCGCCGGTGATCTGTTAATCTCCTTCCATACACAATGGCACCGAGGAAAGATGGTGACGTGGTGTTTTCTGTTAGTAGCCTCGTTCCAGACTCTCATGTCCAAGCTGATATTCGGTAGTTCAATGGGAAATATGTTTCTTGGACCCATACAGTCTTTGCATACGCTGCTTTCCTCGGGGCGTTGATCGTCGGAGTCTTGCTGCACTATCACAAAATTGTACAAAATGAATACTATGGATATCCCGACGAATGGTTTCCCTCCGTCTCTGCCACCATTGGCGACCGATATCCTGAACGCTCGGTTTTCATGGTTTTCATTGCCATCACTTCAGGTCCTCGATTTATTCTCGTTGGCCTATGGTATCTCCTCACCAGGCGACCGAACTCGAATCTCCCAGGCATTGTCGCCGCTATCGGATTGTTCAGAACATTCACATGTGGAGGGTGGACATACGTGACTTCTACGGATGACCACGACTGGCATGATATCTTCATGATCTCATACCTTGTGGCAACTCTTCCGTGGACATTAGGATGTCTCGCGTTGAGTCCCCCGAACCTCAAAGCTGTCAAGTATCGGAAGATTCTGGCCGGCCTGTTTTTCGGTACCCTCGTACCTCTCATTTACTTCTTCATTCAGCACAAGGTCCACAAAGTTGCTGGCGGTAGGTTTTCACCTTGTATTTTTGACCAGTAGCTAACCCTGTCAGCCTATACGACCTACGCCTTTTTTGAATGGTCACTCATTTTGTTCGATGTGGCTTTCGACGCTGTGACCGCACTTGACTTTGAGACATTCGAACTTGTGGTGAAGGATGTGAAGGGGCTCAGCAGAGGGTACGTGCAGATACTCCCGAGTTACTCAAAAGTACGGCCAAGGTAGACAATAGCTTAGTGAGTTACTGACAAAATTATAGTGACGCGAGACTCCTTAAAGACTCTGTGAAGGAAAAAGAGTAGGTCGCTAAAGCGCCAGGCTGTTGATTGTTACTAACTGGTAGTAAGACGTGACAGCACCCTGATCCAAACATCCACTTTCGAAGGACCCTATTACTGGCCAGCCATGCTAGACGCTGCCGCAGATATTTACCATGGTTTCGTTTTCTGGTCGATTCTCACCTCGCTGGGTGTTCTTGTCTGGTACTTCCCGTTATGGCATATGGGCATCTCCGGCTACGAAGTCATGGTCATGTCGACAATCTCACCTCTACTTCTCGGCGTGCCGTTCATTCGATCTCTCACGATTAAACACGTCAGATTGGTTCACTTGTCGTCCTTGGCTGGGCTCCTCGCATGGCTAGTGAAAGATCCTGCAAGCCGATTGTTCACCGTTGGATTCGCTGTCTGGATGGGATGTCTGGCGTGGTCCGCGGAATGGTACGCTGAACGGAGAGATTCAGGACGACTTCAAACCAGGATTCTGGCGTGGTGTATTGGCTTGATCCTCTCCAGCATTGCAAAGTTTGCGAATCACACCAATAATCCTCTATGGCCGATCTTACATCCTGGCAACGGTGGCTGGAATAAGACCGGTGTAGTACTTGCCGTTCTTGCCATTTGGCGATCAACACGACCCAGCTCCACAAGCGGCGGAGATTACTTCGCACCAACCGCCAAAAAGGGCTCCGGTATACTGGCAGGGGCCGGTCTCGGAGGACTCTTCTTCGCCATGCACTCCTTGCTATCGGATTCGAGTACCATGATCTTATGGGTCTGGGAAGGATATCCTGTTCGAGGCCCGTTGGCTGTTCCTCACGGTGCCGTCACGATATTTGCGATGAGCGCGGGCCTGTTTCTCGGAGTTGCTCTGCCCAAGTTCTTCAGATCATGGACAGCTTACGGACTGGGCGCTGTTGGTGCAGCATTTATCACCTCCTACAGCAATTGGCGAGGCTACTACGGCGGCCTTGTTCTAGCGTTCTATCTCATGGGAGTTGCTCCTGTTCTCATTTCTTCCGCCGTCCTGCACAACCCGGCTTCCACCTTTGGTTGGGGCTTTTTCGTTTACAATGTGATGGTGTTGTTCCATGTCTGGGTTGTGGCATATGCTTTCGTGCCAGGTGGACCGCTCGTACGTGAGCATACTGACTGGATCATGGTCACCACCATGCTGTTGATCGGTGCTGGTGTCTTTTCAGCGTTGACCACTAATGCGGGGTATCAGCAAAAGAGCAAGACAAGTCCCCGGGGACGGAAGCAAACGGCATACTATCTCCATCTCCTGTTGGCCCTCCAACTGTTGGCGGCGTCAGTCGCATATCTTCGCTTCCCTACGAACGACTATCAGCCTTATCACAAGGACGAGAAGTTGATTACGGCCGGAATCTGGACCATCCATTTCTCACTTGACAACGACATGTGGTCTTCTGAACGGAGAATGCGTGATGCCATCAAGGATCTTGAACTCGACGTGGTAGGGCTCCTTGAATCAGACTTGCAGCGTATCATCATGGGCAATCGAGATACTACACAGTATCTCGCAGAAGATCTGGGCATGTACGTGGATTACGGCCCAGGCCCCAACAAACACACCTGGGGATCAGCGCTGCTATCAAAATTCCCCATTCTCAACTCTACTCATCACCTTCTTCCTTCGCCAGTCGGTGAACTGGCGCCAGCAATCGAGGCCACGCTGGACGTGTATGGGACCGCAGTTGACGTGTTTGTCTTTCACTCCGGGCAGGAAGAGGACCCCGAAGATCGACGCCTTCAGTCCGAGTATCTGGCTCAAATAATGGGTGCCAGCCCTCGGCCCGCAATTCTGTTGAGTTACCTAGTGATCAAACCGACAGAAGGCAATTACAACACTTACGTGAGCGAGAAAAGTGGCATGCACGACATTGATGTGCGAGATTGGGACCGATGGTGCGAATACATCCTGTACAAGGATATCAAGCGTGTTGGATATGCCCGAGTTAGTAGGGGCACCATCACCGACACTGAGATACAGGTAAGTCAGCCGCGCGATTTGCGCTCTGGATGCTGGCTAATATGGTACAGGTGGGCAAGTTTGTCGTGGGAGAACCGGTTTCATACTCAGACGAGCGAATCCCTGAGGAACAGGTTCCGCCGGGACGAAGATTTCCAGCACTATTCCGTGGAGAGGGTGTTCGAGGGCATAGATATCATGTCTTTGATGAGCCATGGTATTATGCATGAGAGGCTGGGGTATTTGCACCATGAGCTGAGCCCAAATACTACAGTATTACAGTACATACTGCGTACGGAGTACTTTAATAGGTACCTTTAGGGTAGTAGGCACCTAGCAGGGAAAGAAAGGCACACGGCACTACCCCTGATGCGTCATGTGACTACATTGCTGTCATGTGATCATGATCTCTATCTCGGGCGGGGCCGCGGCGTTCAGCGGCATTTATCTTATCACGAAAATGATGCGGGGTGATTTGCAGCCTCATGACTGCGATGACTCAATCGGAAACGTGACCTTGCATCCTGGTCCTGACTGCACCACTTCACTGTTATTACTACTACTATGATTTCGTTGTTCTCTTATTCAAAGACATTCCCACATCTTCACCCATCCTCACCCATCCTCACATTTTGCTGTTCTCAAGACCCGTGCATGTCCATACTTGTGACAGTCACTTGATTTCCCTTTCCTCCTGATTCCAGGGCTGGTACCGGCGTTGCCTTGTTAACTCCGTCTGGTCTTCCTGCTCTGTTGTCATAATGGCTGAGCCATTGGAACGTCCCCCTCCCGGCTCCAGGGCTATTAAGATACCTCTATACAACAAAACCCTTACAGGCTATTCCACTCCTCGACGCAGCCAACGTTATGTCAAGAATGCAGAACGAGCCGATACTTCCGATGCAGGCCCGTCCTCGCTCAGCTCTGACCAGGAATCTACATGGGCATGCAGTCCTTTCTCAGGGCCGTCCCACGACCGTTTGCAAACTGCAGCATATCCCTCAGCACAAAACAGTCAATTTACTATTCCAGCAACGCCTTCCGAAGACGCAACCCCATCTCAGCGAAAGGACAAGCACAGGGCTAGCTTCCCCCCACCCAGCGGCGTGCCCATGCAGTTCAGCCACTCGTCCTCACCGCTCGGCCCCTCGATGCTGTCGTCCAGCTCCTATAAGTCCATCAACCTCAATTCCCGCTTCGACGACCCTGATGAGCCTCCTCGTCTGATTACCTACACCAAACACAGTCAAGGGTTCACATGGAATGATGAGCTGTTTTTGCCAAGTTACATGCTCGGGCGGTATGGAGAGCGAGGGAGGAAGAAGCAATACGATGGAGACTTTGGAGACGAGGAACATTGCCCAGTTGCCGAGATCTTCGTCACGGACGAGGAAGCTGAGGCTATGATGCCCTGAACACGGTGACAGAATTCGGAGAAAGATGTGCTACGAACATAACATGATACACATGGCTGGGCTGCGAGTACTAAATGGTGTTGGCAGCGTATTTATTGGACATGAGCTAATATTGGAGGCTCATCACAGCGGGCGACACCAGGTAAGGGCTGGTCGCCGGTCGGAATAGCTTATTGTTTGATGGATTGCGGACTTTCTGGGAGTATCGGTTACTGGGATTGGATGGGCTGGCTTATAGAAGCAGTATTCTATGCGACAATACCAGGGAACAATCTCGACTCAGCCGAGTGGATGGATTTGGTTGAAGTGGCACGGACGGGTTTGGAAAACCGGCAGGGCGGTTCTTCGCTGGGATAGCTGGGATCGCTCGGGTCTCATAGACATATACTCCGTACGCGGGAAATACATATAAGTACAATGAAGGCCTACACCGTGCCTTTCTTCCTCGCTCTGCATCTATTCATATTCAAACCATATCCATATCCACATCCACATCCACATCGGCCACTTGTCTGCACCGGAGCAGACCAACCTCCTAGTCCCGCGGCTAACGTTAGCAGTGCCCCGTTGCAATGTTCCTCAGTAAGAAGAACTTGACCACACAGTGGATCCTTGCCTGCGCCAAACCATCTAGATCCTAGACGACATCAAAGGACTCCATTCAACGTTGACAGATTGACCAGCGATGCGCTGGCAAATGGGGATGCCAACAAGTCACCTGCATGCCACCTCACGCAGGATGTTTCCATCCCGACACGCAGCAGAAATGATAATGCACTGGCCCTGCAGCCTATCCAAGATCAATGCAACGCCAGTTCCAGCTCGGCACGGGAGTGAGTGACATAAGAGGAAAAGCACATAATGGAGCAGAAGAACAGCTCGACAGCGGCGGGGCAGACGGGATACTCACTGTCTCTATCTTCACCTACGACTCTGTCTCTTCCCTTTAGTGTCATCGTGACGGTTAGGTCAACCGAGAAAGCTATTCACCGTTCGAGTTCGAGCCCAAGCCCGAGCCCGATTCATTCCCGACCAAATTGAAAGATCTCTGCTGCCCTGCGAGTTGACCAGGACTTTGCACGAGACACTAAGGACACCACGACACCGGAACCGTGTAGAAAGTTGTCGTCTCTGTCCAGAATGGCGGATCCCTCGCTCACATCGCTGGTCACGGAGCTTGCGAAGCTCGCTGCCGACTATGTGCCTCCCACAGGACATGACGCGGCATCGCAAGCGCCCAAGGTGGCACTGGTTAACCTCAGCAAGAAGATCATGTACTCGCTCATGGACCCTGGGATGCTGGTGCAAGCACATTCGCTCCAGATGGCTGAAATGGTCTCTATCCGGACCCTGCTTGATCTGAAGGTCTTTGAGAAGATCCCGACAGGCGATGGCCAGACCATCACGGCCAAAGAGCTCAGCGAAAAGTCAGGCGTTCAGGATACTCTGCTTGGTAAGAAGATGGCATATTGATTCTTTGTTGCTAATGCCAATGGCCATGGAAATGGCAATGCCTACCCTGAATTGGTGTCGTTCTTCAATTGGTGTCGTTCTTCAATTGGTGTCGTTCTTCAATTGGTGTCGTTCTTCAATTGGTGTCGTTCTTCAATTGGTGTCGTTCTTTAATTGGTGTCGTTCTTTCTGTCACTTGAGCCAGCGTGAACAGTACCAAGTGCTCGTTTCACTCCTCCCACGAGGGCAATATAAATTGTCAATATGTTGCCGTTGCCGACGGAGCTTCTCCAGCTGACCTAGCGGGTGTGAAATATAGAACGGCTTCTCCGACCTCTCGTCGCTTCAGGTTTCATCACCCAGTCATCGGACGGGTCGTACGGGTCAACCAAGTTCTCGCAGGCCTACATCTCGTTCCCCGGCCTGTTCTTCACGCTGATGTTCGACCACTTTCTGCAGCCCATGACCGATCTGCCCAAGTATCTCAAGACGCACGGGCCGGTGGAGCCGACGTCGTTCTACGTCAACCCCTACTCCGACTACCACCAGGCGAGCGACTCGGGCCTGACGACCTGGGAGATCATGTCCAAGGATCCGGAAAAGCTGAAGACGTTCCAGATCGGCCTGACCCTCGGTGACACCATGGTCCCGGTCACAGGGTACTACGACTTCGACCAGCTTGCTCTGACGCCAGAAGAGCTGGAAAGGGATCCCGACCGAGTGAGTCTGGTCGACATCGGCGGCGGGGTCGGGAACGTCGTCAAGCGCATTCTGCAAGACTATAAGAAGCTCAATCCCAAGAACGTCGTGCTGCAGGACCAGGACAACATCATCGACATGGCCGACAAGGAGAAGACCCCTCCTGAAGGGGTGAGGCTGGTCAAGCATGACTTTTGGGGCCCACAGCCTATCAAAGGTACGTACCGTACGGAGGACTGGACAATCTTCTACTGCCCTGGACCCGTCAAACCCAAAAAAGCGGATGCAGACGCCAGATATCAGCATATCTCCTTTCCTCTCCTCTTCACTCTTGCCTGCCGTCTCCAAGCCAAAAGATTGACATTTGCCCTTGCCCTGACTCCTTTCCCAACCATCAAGCCATATATATACCTGGTAACATGAGTGAGATGCTTCACATGACATTCACATGATATCCACATGACATTCACATGCCGTTCCTATCGAGAAGGAGAAGAACATGACATTCACATGCCTGACATATGCCATTCCTATCGAGAAGGAGAAGAACAAGGACAAGGCTCACCTCCTCTGTGTGTGTTCTCTAGGTGCCAAGGCGTACTATTTCCGCCGCGTCTTCCACGACTACAGCGACGAGCTGTGCGCCAAAGCACTACGCCAGATCGTGCCGGCCATGGCGCCCGACTCGCGCATCCTCATCGCCGACATGCTGCTGCCGGACATCATGACCGAGAAAGAAGCCCACACGGCCGCCCTCGATGTCGCATGCATGGTGATGGGCGGCAAGGAGAGGACCGAAGACGACTTCCGCCGCCTGTTCGACAGCGTCGGGCTGGACCTCGTCGCTATCCATCGCGCACCCGGGGCGGCAGCGGGCGTCGTCGAGGGGAAATTGAAGACCGAGTAAGATGTCATCACATCTTGGATATCAATCATGCTAGCTAGATAGATGCGCAATAGATACTACTCTTTCAATTGGGTTCGACCGCTTATGGTCACGGCCGAATGGCATGTCCAAGATGAGGCTGTAGTTCCTATGTTCATGACCAGAGTCTACGAAGTCGCCATGGCTTCTCGCTGACCATCTATCACTTTCTTCATATATACTCTTTCGCCTATGTACGAACTCAGAATATGTCCATAATCAAATCGCTTATATCCCCGCGAAGACGCCGTACAGATGTCAATCCCTTCATACGCTGGCTTCATCCCGTCATCTAACTTTCTCTGAAAAAATATCGTGGCCTCATAAGTCTTCAATGCTGTCGGGTGACTGTTATGTTCTAGACCGTCTAAACCTCTGCAAACGGAGAGGATCCGCGATGCAGATAGACAGGTAGACAGGTAGACATCTCGAGTGCTGTGGTGCAGGCACACACTTTAATAGCCGTGTTGGCCCCTCTTCACCGTGAAATGGAGCTCGGCAGGAAGAGACGTCAATGTTAATAACGTTAGTGAGCGAACCGGAAGTCCAGTCTCTGGTTCCCTTGATCTTTCGTCCTGGCCAGGTACTGCAGTTGCTGGGGCCCAGTCATGGCGCGCCACCTGCGATCGCGTTGCCGGTTCTGGAACACGTAGTATGCTTTGGTCAAGAGGTACAAACCAATGTTGCACAAGGCTACGATGAGAAGAACGCGATTGCCTCGCTTGTAGCGGGGCGCATCGTCTAGAATTTGTAGCAATCAGCAGTTAGCGACAGCGACAGCGACTCGACACTCTTCTGAAAGACAGACACACCCCGTGCCTTTGGCAGAGGAAGCCCAAAAAGCAACCCCAAAAAGGGGGAAACATACCTTCGCGATAGACATTGGAAGAAATGATGCCACCGGCTTGCACAAACATGTTATACATGGCCGCAGAGACGGTGCGAGAATGGACGGCGTTGGAATTGCGCGAGTTCCATCCAACTTGTATGGGGTGTGCTGAGACCCATGCCGTTAGCATCGAAAGGATCGATGATTGTATAGTACAGTGTAAGACATACCAGAAGGATAACTAAGTAAGAAAGTGGTGACGGCCCACATGATCCATTTGTTGGTTTGGGAGATGTCGACATTGTTGAAGTAAATCAAGAATGGGAGCGCCCAGAACTGGGCCAGAATGGCGATGAACGTAAGCTCTCGGAAGACTTCGGCTAGGTACGTGACGAGCATCATGTTACACACTAGCAGGGTATCAGCAGGGGGGTTGGATTGGGTCGGGGTTTGCCAGTGATACATACTGTGAAAGACCGTGTGAGGGATGGCTAACAGGTTGGCTTGGAAGGTATCGAAGCCCAGCCCGCGCAGTGATAGCGTGAGATACTGTTGCGGCGGAGTCATGGGGATCTGGAAGGTGAGACCAAGGATGTACATCGGCCTGAAGGCGAGGTTAGATGAGAGAAGTGTGCCAATAACTACAAGGACGCGACAAAGTCATACCAGAGGTCGAAGTCTTTCAGACACTGCCACAACAGAGCAGGAGTGATGGCCTGCCGATTGTGCATACCCCCTTTCGCAGGATCCTCGCGAATCACTCGATTGACCATGATGACCTCCTCCCTGAGAGCACACGTCAGTATACAATGAATTGGCGGGCCATGGACGATGACGGAGCTCCATTATATACCTTTCACTGAACCAGCCGCTCTTCCCGCGAAACCAACTCGCAGTCTGCGTGGGAGAGGCGGGCATCATTCCGAAGGACAGGAGCCCGACAACCATGGTCAGGAGACCCTGAATCAAATCGGATCGGATTAGTTTGGGATGAGCTGGAAGCGTCTTGGGGGTTGGAGATCATGTTGGTACCTCTATTAGAAACAGCCATCGCCATCCCGACTGATTTTTTAGTCCTCTCATGTGCAGAACGCCGTAGGCCACAAAGCCAGACAGGATATCAGCCAGGCTCATGGCGGTCCAAAAGAAGCCCAACCGCAGAGACAACTCATGGTGCTTGTAGAAATAAGAAAGGTAGAGAATGACCTGGCTTCTTGTGAGATTCTTCGGCGGAGGAAGGTTGGGGTTGTTGTGTCAAGGCAAAGTACTCACGTCCGGAATGAAGCCCCCCTGCAAGATGCCCAGAAGACAGCGACAGGCGAGGAAGGAGGCACGTCCGCCGAGTCGGAATTGAGACACGGCGACGACGGACCACAGCACCATCTGCATTGGGATCCAGCGGTCTGGCCCCATCCACTTGGACACCAGTTGCGAGGGGACCTCGGCGCATAGGAAGGAGAATTTGAACAGCGTATTCCCGAGATTATAGTCTGGGCCAGTCCAAACATGTCAGTTTGCACGCCCATGAGATACCAGGTCCGAGGGGAGGGGAGTCACCGTTGGTGGTCAAGCCCAGGTCGTCGAGGAAGTTGTCGGTCAAGGCCTGGCTGATGTTGGCCCGGTCGAGCTCCAGAGCCATGAACATGATACAGGCAAAGACCATGATGCGCACATCGATCTTGCGGATCAGTCGGTGTTCTTCACCCCAGGTCCATCGAGCGGAGGGATCGAAGCGGTGCAGGTTTTCCCTAGGACAAGGTCAACCCTCAAACGTGGGTTGGCCACAAAGGAGACTTACCAGTCAGGCCGTGGCAGATACTCTTTGGCAGTGTCTGGGTCATCGAAGACGCTTGGTTGGGTTGCGACGGCATAGGGATCGTATGTCTGCCCCCGTTGGAACCAGAAGCGTTTCTCGTGCTGAGGCAGGCCTAAAGGCTCAATGGCGGCACTCTCCGCAGGGTTTATGCCGGCTGGGCCATCTGCCCTCTTCTCCGGCGGTTTCAATAGGGCTTCGGCCTGCTCGTCGAGCGAGATGGAAGATGCGTTGGAGAGCAGGTCGTCGCTGAGACCGCGGCGGTGGCTGGTGCCGCGGATGAAGACGGTCGACATGGCGGACTCATTGGCAGCTCGCTGTGGCTGCAACCTCGATCTCGACCGCGAGATAAAGTTGAACAGCAGGTCCATGGCGACAAGATTGTATGTTGTCGAGGGTTGAGGGTCCGGGTGTGGCGTGTCACGCAAGCAGGGCCGGTGATGGCAGAATTGACTTGGAGCGGCTCGCACGCCATCTGTGTCAAGGGTGAGGATCAGCCTGAGCCCGCCGCCACAGCCGCGCACCGACTAGTAATACAGAGTAGTAGGAGTCCATTTATTCTGAGGATGAAGATGAAGATGAAGATGAAAATGGATGGCAACCTGCGACATCTGTCTCCCTGGGAGGAAGTTGTTAGCTACAACTGCGATCATTGGCTAATAGGGCGCAGGTACGCAGGCTGCGACTTGACCGGCCAGCTAAGCCAGTGATTGACCTGACCTCGAGCAGAGCGTTCCAATGCTACACGATACCGTCCTCTACCATAGACTGGATCAGATTCTTCTGTCCCCTTCTCCTTCGACCCCTTCGACACCTTCTCCCGTAGCTGTCTAGCTCTGTCTAGCTCTATCACAGGGACAGCGACACCTGTAGCAACCTCCACATTGTTCTCCTCCTACGTATCCCTACATCCTCTCATAGTCGGGGCCTCGCGATCCGGGCCTGTTCTGCCCACCACTGGGCCTTCTTCGCCAGAATCCCCAGAGCAAGATCAACCCATTCCTGCCGCCACGCCGGGAGTTCGTAGCTGTCCGATTCGGGCGCAGGCTTGCCGGCGATGTCGCGCAGCCTGTTCCAGTACTGTTCAAAGTCGGGCAAGATCTCGTGGAAACGCACTGAATCTCCTTTCTCCTGGAGCCGCTTCTCCTCCCAGGCCTTTTGCTCGGCCACCGGGGGCAATATGGCCCGCCCGGCCAGAATTCGAGCGACGGCAACCGCCTGATACTCGTAGACGCGGAAGCTCAATCCTCCCTTCACCTGTGTCGAATGTCACGTTAATTCCGTTACTGCAGAACTGATGGGGATGTTCAATAGCCTGCATACCTGGCCGACAAAACTCAACGTCGGGTCGCCGATCTTCACGATGTGCTCATAGAGTCCGGCCAGACGATTTGTAGGCGTGACGGGATTAGGCACCAGGTAGGGATACGACAGGCGGAAGCCTGTGGCAAAGATGACCTTGTCAAACCCTACCACGACACTGCCGTCGTCGAACTCAACGCCCACTTGGTTGTCATGCCCGAAGACCCTCTTCACCTGGCCCTTTTGTACCACCCCGGGCAGCTGCCATGCCGGGATCAGGTTTTCATTGACACGCCTCTGGGCGCTGTACAGCGGGCCCTTCACGAGGCGGTGAATGTCGCTGACAATGTCGGCCGCTGAGATGCTGCCGCCCACCACGAGCACTTTCTTCACCTCGATATTAGCGGGGTGTCCACCACCAGGGAAGCACTCATGGGTCGTAACCTACCTTTGCAACATAGTTATCTGGCGTCCGATATGACTTGGAATGCTCGAAGTGGTCAGGGGCTTGTCGATAAGTCTCCGCCAGGCCGGCGATCTCAGGAATCCACCCGACATTGTAGTGGCCACTCGCCGCTACCACGGCATCGAACCTCTCCTGCCACCAGAAATCCTTGGGCTGGCCGTCTCGAATGTGTCCGGGCTGTCGGAGAGAGAGAACCCATTCGTCTCCGACCTTCTTGGCCTTTTCGACCGTGGTATTGAGTGAAATCAAATGGTGGTACTCTTGGAAGAGATTTTCCAGGTATTGCTGGACTACCTGGAACGGCCGCGAGTCGTTGTCAGGCCCGAGTCTCAAGACCGAAGTGGCCGAATTCTTGATCGGGAACGGGGCGTGAGAGAAGGACATGATGGCCGCGCCCACATTGCTGTCGAGCTTATCATAGATGGCCGTTCGCGCCGTGGTGTCCTCTGCAGCTGGCACGGCATACCCTGGCAGCTGAGATGGGCCAGTCAATTGCCGTGGCTCCCCTGATGCCAATGGGAATCTATCCGGGATAGCATCGTAGTGCCTAGGAATGTAGCGGTCAGCTGGCCACGTTTCTTTCTTTCCTGTTCCTTCTCCTCGAAAGCTATCTCGGGATGAAAAAGCACCACCCACCACAGGCCCCCGACTTGATTTCTTCTCTCGAAGACGCGAATCACGTCGAATTTCTTCTCCAACGCCAGAGCCCGGACCGCAGCGTATCCGGACGGGCCAGCCCCGATGACGGCGACCCGTCGAACCGGTCGCCGACTTTGGTCTGCATTCCCCATAGCGGACGAAAGTGCGCGGCGGTTTCGTGTGACTCAGAAGCTGTTCCGTGTCCAACGTAACAAATGATATGGGTATGATAGGTTGCTTGAACTAACGGGAAGGGTTTAGTTGCCTGAACTTGAACGGGAAAGGCTAACAAGAGAAAGTCAAGAGAACAAGGCGAAAAGGCAGCCTTCAGCTTCACATATATTTGAGCTCCTGTAAAGTCACGGCGGGCCACCGGGTGGATCAGAAGGGCCATGGTTACTCCAGCGTCCACTGTCCAGGGTGATATCGTGACAGCAGCACCAATTGAGCCATTCTCGCACCACCTTGCGTCATTGTCATTTGGGCCGGCCTCCTCGCGGAGCTCGGCTAGCCATGCGCCCTTAGTAGATGGGTATCATGGGATGTGCAGTATCTGCTGGCTTTATGAAACGTCTCTAACAGGATCAGGGTTGGTCGTTCGTGGTTCGTGGTTCGTGGTCTGGGAAGAGGGGGTAGAGGTGGATAGTTGGAATAATGTACGGAAGTGGTTTGGGTTGGGTTCTGGTGGCAGCCTTGCGCGCATCGCCGGTGGTGGCCTAGTCGTATGTCAGCCTTATCTCTATCATTGATCTGCATATACAGTCGGGCCCCGCCGAGGCTTTTTTTATAGAGAGTAAGGAACATTTCAACGTCTTCCCGGGTCCTGTCTCTGTCATTCATCTATATACTTTGGGCTCCTTCCCTTGATAATGCACAGCGTGCATGGATCAGTCATCCACGTGAGGGAGAGGATCGATGAACCCCGTAGCTGTCTGTCGTCGAAAGGTGGAGGGGTTTCCTGAGCCAAACTGGATTCCACACAGCTCGCTTTGAATTGATGCGAATTTCTGTCGCTCGAAGATGTTGGAACTATTGCTCATGTCCGCGGTTGCACAGCGATTTGGAACTGGCTCGAGGCCTAGAGAGTCTTCGAGGTCGCAAAAGTCAAAATCCACTTCATCGGAGGACATTCTGGCTCCCCCAAGGTGTGTGATGAAGGAAAGAATGTACAAAGAGGCCCGAATGTGTTGGAGGGAGAAAACGTGTGTCTCCGGTGGGTTCAAACCGGGCTTCGGCCTGCTCGTCAAGCGAGATGATGCTACATACGAGGTAACTCGACAATCTCTAACCCAAGTACAGGCGTCCAGTCCTTCATCTTCTCTTCCCACTGCTTGAAATTGTCGACAGTATAGCCATCCGGGGGGTTGCCACCGTTCACGACAAAGTCCTGCGACTGCGCCGAGAAACAGTAATCCCCGAGCAACCAGGTATGAAGAGCCCCTTCGATCTTGACTGCGAACCGAAAGGGAAAGATGTCTTCGTGCGTTACAATGAGGCCCATTCGCAGCTTTTTGGGGATTTCCTGCCATGGTTTGGCAGCCTTCAGCCGCCACTGTGCCTGCCGGTGGCTGAAGGAATCGTCGCATTGGCCCGTATCCCCCTCGACCTCCCACCTCGCTTTAATGGCATTGCCGTATGTGTGGGTGTCCGCCAAGGTCAGGCCGAGTACTGATACACCTGCGGCGGAGGGATTAAGGGTGCCTCCTTGGTTTCTGGTGTCGACCCGCCGAACACCGCCGAGCAGCTGGCTGGGAAAGATGTAGTGGCTAGTCAATCTGGGCGGTGGGAAATCAGCCGTCGGGTCAGCAGGGGCTGCTTGTGGTCGGACCTGGACCGTGAACTTCGCCCAGCGCGGCTTTTGGGCCTGGTTGAAGATGATATAGAGGTGTGGCGTCCATGAGGCCACCTTTTCAGTCTGGCCCCATTCCGACTGCTCATGCCAGCATTGAACCTCCACCTCCTGGCCCGGCAGCCTGTAGAACGAGTTTGACAAATTTGTGGACAGATTTTCGAGGGGCGCAGGCATATTTGGCTGTGGAGGAGGCTGTCGAAACCATCGGCCCAGTCCCGTGTAGTTTACGGCGGCGTGTGCCATATCGATCGTTGTTCTCTCACCAACGGGCCTGGGGAGCCGGGGAGCCTGGGGAGGCCCTGGAGGTATGACCGAACGATGAACGATAGAGATGAGGTTGGGAAATGCTCCTGAGAGAACAGGCGGTTTCAAGCCTTAGGCCACTTTTGTGAGCATCCCGTGGCTTGCTGCAGCTGGTTAGTGGCAGGCCGCCAACACAGGACCTAACAAACCACAGGACCTTTTCCACCTTCCACCTTCCACCTTCCACCTTCCACCCTTCACCCTGTCTCTGCAGAGCACTTGCTCCTGTATGGATAAACACCACGGCAATCCTCAAATGCGGCTTCTTCTCCTCTCGTCGCATCCTCAAACTTCTCCCTCCTCCGTGCATGATCATGGCGCTGCCAGAGCCATTCCCTGAAGCCGGCGATACGATGCTATTCGAGATGCACCTAACTGCCCATCCGGTCGTGTTGCCGCACCTCGAGGAGTTCATGCGACTGAGCCGCTTACGCGATTTCCCCGCTGCAATCACCCTCTTCAACGACCAGCTCCTTGAGCACATTGATGACGCTTTCCTGGTCGTGATTGAATGTGCCGATCTTCTCTTCGAACAGGGCAATTACGGGGAGCTCTCGCGCTTCCTAGAAACTCGACTCTCAACGAAGACGCCGACAGAAGGAGAATCCGCCCCTCAAAGGCCAGAGGCGGAGGAGGAACTTGAACTACTCCTAGTTATGAAATCGCTGGCGAAAATCTTTACCAAAGGTGCACTTCGGCCAGCCTTGGTGCAAGCTCGGCGCTGCAGAGACTACCTTGCACGGGTCACCACCGGCCACCAGGAGAAGGCTGGCCAGCCGCCCACCAGTACTCAGGTTGGTGATCGACTCCTACAGTCAGCACATGCGCCCCTAACTGACCTTGATTAGATCTACATGTTCGAGATATATCTCGGTATCGTGGTTTTTGCCTTTGAGACGTCCAACTGGGTGGAGCTTTCCCACCTGGACCCGCCGTGGATCCCTGCCACCAGCGGCGGACGTGGCGCGCTTCACTGGTTCAAGACCCTGCAAGACAAAGGTTATTTGTGGGAAGCATGGAGGGTCTTGCGAATACTTCTACCCGTTCTACCGAAGCTGCCATCGCATGACGTGGCACAGCTGATTTTTGGTGAAGAATCCCAACAGGACCGGTCGGAGAAGGGTTCGGTAGCGGTTGATGAAAAGAAAGAGGGTGAGCCAGACAGGTGGGCGTCCTTGTCGATGAACGTGCTCAAGGCACGGTCATTGCTTCACACGATACTTCAAGAGTATGGCGTTTCGAGCGAGTCACGTTTGGGTCGTGATCTCCTTCTTTCCAGAGGCCGAGACTACCTGAACAAAGCGGCCGAGCCCCCCCCCAGAAGACCGCAAGTTGGGGTGGAGGGAAGGGGATCTGGAAGTCGAGCTGGAGCAATTCAACTATGGGCTAATCGACGAACACCTGCATCCCGAGACCAGGTCACTTAGGGCTGGCCCCGATCGTCGCTTCACAAGACAACTTGAAGAAATGGGAGACCTTCGAATGTGGGCGGCAACATGGATTCAAGGGCTGTTGGTACAAATGGACGAGCTAGGCGATCAGGCGTTGTTGCCTCTGGACCAAATATACGACGTGCTGGACCAAATAGATTACGACGTGCGTCGCCAGGACTATCATTTCGAATCGGGCGACAGCATAGGGTCTCTTCGAATGTGGGAGTTGCTCGCCACAATCCTCCTAACGTTGTCAGCGCAGGGAAATACCGACAAGTTCGCCCAGCCATTGCTGGCATCAGCAACTGAAGCCTTTGAAACCTCCATACTAGTGAAAAAACTCAAGTCCGACATGTCACGACGACGGCTTTTTTATATCAGGATTGGAGAAATTCTGTCCAAGATTAGGCACCCGGTCTCCATATACAATTTTGCCCGCCAGATCTCTTACCACGAGGATTCTGAGGAGGAGTATCCGACCGAGTTCGACGTTCCGCTTTGTATCTGGGCTGTCGTGCAAACCACGACACGACTGAGCACCAGCTTTGGGGAGAATTGGCCTCTTAGAAACCGATATATTCAGAAATATCGACGTGGACGCGGTCAAAAGGTGTTTGCCGGCCTTCGTCAAGGATGCACAGCAGTTGGGCACACACAGTGACAACACCAAGCTCGAGAGAGGCGAAACAACCACGGTGACGCCCGAAGGCGAAGTTGTCGATTCCATACAGGCGAAATTGTCCATTCCAGACAGGTTGGTCATTTCGGGCGACCTCGCTATCACTGGCGAGGATTCCGATCGAAGCCCTGCAGGTAAGGTGAGCGTCGGCCCGAGCGGACAGCGTGAAGTGTCCAAGAGTGGCATAGCAGCGAAAAAACAGGCAGCGAAAGAGAAGGCAGCGAAAGAACCGTCATCTAATCAACGGTAGTAATCTACTCGGGACCTAAATGAGAAGTAATTCAAGATGAGAAGTAATTCAAGATGGGGAGTATATCAGGTGGCGCCGATATCGTGTGGAAGTTCAATATAAGGTCAAGGGTTAGGGTTTGCAACGCCCAGCTCCGACGATATAAAAATCTTTATGGTTCTCCACCATGCCGCATTGGTCACTGTCCGTGTCAGTCAGTCACCGACCGGCTCAATCAGTCACTGTCCGTCACCGTCACCGTCACCGTCACCATCGGTCCCTTTAGTCCGTCCCAGTCACACACGGGTTGAGCTACCACGATCGGCTATTGCCGGAGCCACCGCGTGAATCGCAGCCATGACATCCAACGCGGCCAGCTGGCTATGACTGGTAGGCAAATCCATGGGGCCCGCCCACCAAGGTCCATACTGGCCCGTACCGTTGGCGGTGGTATCGCGCTCCTGGAGGCTCTGGAACTGCCAAGCAATGAACCGGACCAGCTGGTCCTGTACATCCGGGTACAGGCAGTCTCGAGACAAGATTCTGTACAGCTTGGCCAGACTGCGGACCAGCACGGCTTTGAATCCCACGGCGTCGTCGTTTTCCGCCGCCGACTTCTGGTTGGGTGGGCTGCCCGGGTAGGCGGCGCGTTCGGTCAGGGTTCCGTCGGGGTCGATCCAGCTCTCTCGCGTCATGGCGTGGCGGGCCATTTGGCACGCCAGATCGAGGTACGTATCCGTACTCGGACTCGGACTCAGCGCTGCAATGTTGGAGTGGGTTGGTGGGTACGTACTCGGACTCAGCCCTGCAACGTTGGAGTGGGTTGGTGCTGTGGGCCGAGTCTGAGGCTGAGGCTGAACCTGTTTCATCGCATCGTAGACGGCAATAGACGCCGCGATGGCCTGGCCGGTGTTGTAGGTGAAGGTCCAGTCGAAACTTTGGCCCGTCTCGAGATCAATGTGGTCCAAGACCAGATACTGGGCCGGGACGTATCGGCATCGTAGGATCCAGAACAGGCTGAAGATGGCGTGGTCCAGGAACTCTTGCCGATGGGAACCCGAACCATCCGGTGGGACCATCGCCGGTACCGATGCTGATGCCGATCCCGGTGCCGGTGCTAGTGTCAGTGCCAGCCTCGCCGAGAGTTCGGAGAAGAGGCCCGCGGTGATGGCGTTGACCTGGGTCTCGTTGTTCTTGTTGCTCCACATGACTCCGCCTTCCATGTCGGTGCCGTTGATGACATATTTCCCCGGCGGGATCACATACTCGCGAACGTGAGCCCATATGTTTTGGGCCACGGCGAGGTGGTGCGAGTCGCGGGTGAGATCGTACATGTCCAGCAGGAAGATGCCCCACCACATGGAATCGTCGTTGAAGTCGTCGATGCAATCGGTCTGGTTGGCCTCGACCTCGGTGAGAAGTTCGTTCAGCACCTCGACATTGCCGCTGGTGTTGGTCCACGAGTCATGAAGTGCGATGGCAGTGTAGCCGTTGGCCACTTGCCAATAGCCGAGTCCGGAGATCTGCCCGTTGGCTTGCTTGGATGCGAGAAAGACGTCGATGGCGACTTGGGTCGTGTTGATCAGAGGCTCCGCGCCTAGACCTAGACCGAGAGACAGGGACACGTTCATTTTGGATTCGATTCCACCGAAGCGGGGGGATTTCAGGGGATTTCAAAAGGCTTCAGGGGGTGATTCAGGGGATTTCTGACATAGGACATGGACCGGAGACGTACCTTCCAAGGGGTCATGACTGAAGGGACCTGGTCTCGAACGGCCTTTTGATGTGCTCGAGGCCATGGCCGTGGCGAAGCAAACGCACCCGCAGCCTGGCTGTCACGGATGCGACCGGGCGTCATGAAGCAAACAATCTTTTTCACTGGGTCACTGGGTCACTGGTCTTGGGGGAGTGGTAGGCTAGCTTAGATGGGCTCAGGCGCGCTCGCAGAAGCTGTGAAAGACAGACAAGCCCAATGATTGACAATAGGCATCTGCGTCCAAGTCATTGATGGGATGGTGACTCAGGACTGGTGAGGGTGACATGGGCCATTGACCACCAGCATTGGTCGTAGTCGGCGCCAACGTCCTCACGGTGACACTGACACTGCACTGCGTGGTCAGGAGTAATGTGGTGGCACTTGAACACTCGAGACGACAGCCGCTGAGCGTGGTGGGCGGGTACGAGGTGCAGGGTGCAGAGCGACCTGCTGTGTAAGAGAGCCGGAGAGAGCCGGAGGGAGGAGGCGAGAGGAGGAGAGGCGAGAGGCGAGAGGCGAGAGACGAGATCTCAGAGTGAGAGCATCGGTGCGTAAACAACTTGTGAAGTTGGGTCGTCGACAGTATGGAGTACTGTACAGTTGTCACGCACCTCTGGTAGCTCTGGCTTCCAAGGCGTGGCATGGCATGCCTCGCAAGGAACAGGAACAACAATGATCCGGACCAAACCACCTCAATTCCGATTGGTCACGATGCCAGAAACAACGTAACACTTGCCGAATCGGGCAGCGGGCCGTCGTCGCCGTTATCTCCGGCTGTCCAGTAAGATGAGAGAAGCGTGGCGAGGTGGAGAGGTCTTCTATAATATCCTACGACTATGTACTCCGTATATACCGCAATACCTACATGTCTATCTATATATAATGATGCTCGCTGGCGTTGGTCTCGAACTTCCTTTCATCTTTCCCTTTCATCTTCCTGCAAAGCAACTGCTCTTCAGGCCGGACCTTCGATACTTGCAAGTACTTGTTTGAATCAACCAGATCGACATCAAGGTCAGTACTGCAGTCAGATCCAACATCCAACAAATACATTTGCAGCTATACTAATTCGCTTCGCTCAGTAGGCCAACATGACCTCCTCCATGTCCACCATCCTCATCGTCGGCGGCACCGGCGGGATCGGCGAATCGTTCGCCCGGGCATTCCACAAGAGCGGCAAGAAAGTCATCATCACAGGCCGGCGCGAAGCTCGACTGGCTGCGCTTGCTGACGAGCTTCCCGGCCTCGAGACGTACGCCATGGACAATAGCGCGCTGGAATCGCTGGCCGGCCACGTCCAGACCCTGCTGTCACGATACCCGGCCATCGACACCGTCTGGGTCAACTCGGGCATCCAGTACCAGGGCAATTTCCGCGCGCTCGAGAACTTCTCCGACGAGAAGATCATCACCGAGGTGACGACGAACCTGACAGCACCCATCATCCTGGCCCGACACTTCATTCCGCACTTGCTGTCGCTGAAGCGCGAGGCCACCTTTATGATCACCTCGTCCGGAATCGCCTTTGTCCCCGTCGGCATGTTCCCCGTCTACACGCCCACCAAGGCCGGCGTGCATGGCTTCCTCGTCGGCCTGCGGCAGACGCTGAAGGACACCAACGTCAACGTCATCGAGATCGCCCCGCCGTACGTCCGCACCGACCTCGACGCCGAGAACAGGCTGGACAAAGTGTTCACGCCTATGGAGCTGGACCACTTCACCGCTCAAACCCTGCATGCCTTGGACAGGCCAGCCAAGGACATTAAGGAGGCGGCCGTGGGATCAGCCGCGACTTCGGTGCAAGCATGGCGAGCTGCCTTCGACCCGATCTTGGAGGCGCGGAAACTCGGTGGTTAAATGACAGGATCTGCTATCAGGGAGTCGGAGACGCTTTCTTCCTGGGGACATTGGGGTCGGTCGCCGGCGACGCATCAGGGTCGAACTGTGGTTGTTGTTGTTGTTGTGGTGGTGGTGGTGGTGGTGGTGGTGGTGGTTGTTGCTGCTGCTGTGGTGGTGGTGGTTGTGGTTGTTGTTGCTGCTGCTCGGACGGAGAAGTGGTATACGGTTTCGATTTTGATGTTGCTTTACTTCCACCCTCCTCCTCTTCGAGTTCTGAAGGCGAAGTCGACGACGACGACGAAGACGAAGACGAGGAGTCCCCTTGTCTATGGTTCGTAGAAGAAGAACTGCCACTGCCACTCCCACTTCCACTTCCACTTGCCTCGTTCCTTGCTCCACTGGCCTTCTCTTCGTCTATTGCCTTGTCTCGAACATGCTGCTCTGCTTGCCTCGGTTGATCGCCTTGTTGTTTACCTTGATCTGAGTGCTCTATTTCGGTCTGAGGATCGTCTTTATCGCTTCGAAGCGCTTTCCGACCCTCTTGGTGGTTGGTGCCATCTGTATCATCTCCCTCTTTGTCTGTACCTCTATTTCCACCCCTATCTTCACTGTTACCATCACCCACCTCCTCGTTCTCTCTGGTTTTATCGACATCGTCCTTCTTCGGCTCTTCCTTCACCTCGTTCTCTGTGGTTTTATCCACATCATCCTTCTTCGGCTCTTCCTTCTTCGGCTCTGCCTTCACTGGCCTTAGTTTGGCCGCAGTAGCTGGACTCTCGTCGGGGTCTGGCATCGGAGTCGGCATCGGTGTCGGCGTCGGCGTCGGCGTCTGCTGTGCTGGCACCGATATAACGGCACCCGCCGCCGCGCCAGGGTCTACAGCCACCACAGGCGCCACAGCCACAGGCGGGGGCGGGGCCGCTGCAGTAATCGGCAGAGAGACCGGGACGGGCACGTTAGGCTGAGCCACCGGGACCACGGGGACCATGGCTGGCTTGGTCCTCAATGCCGCGTTGCTAGGGTCATAGGACCCTCCGGTGCCGGCCATGTACATATCCGGGTTATTGGCCGTGTTTGTCCTGACCGCCCGGTCAAAGAGGCGGGTGAGGCGGGCGACCTCGCTGCGAACGGTGACCTGATGGTCATCAGTGTTGATCTCATCGTAGCCGTGGACATTCTGCGTGATGCCGAGCCACATGATCTCGGAGTTTTCAATCTCGTCGACGACACGTTCCAGATCGTCGCGGAACATACGCGCCCGCATGGGCTGGCCGCGCGACTTCAAGTACGCCACGAGCCCGGCGATGATGGTATTCATGGCCCCAAACACCGTGATCAGAATGTGCGACGACTCCGACGCCCCGAGCGCCGTCAGCGCCGCACCCAGGACCACTTGCGACAGGAGCAGCGTGTTGGACAGCGAGGCCGTGAAGTAGTAGGTGAAACGCTGTTTGCCGAGTTGACGTGTCGCCCGAGCGTACAGGGATTTGGGGGCTGTGAAGGACGGCGATGAGTATGAGCCTTTCTTGCCTTTCTTGCCGTCACTGGGGTTGGGAGCGGACGACGGTACGCCGACCAGGGTGCAGAACTGTTTGTGCGGGTCTGAAAAGAAGTCGTCACCGGCGCCGGAGGAGGAGCGGGAGAGTAGCGGCGAGCGTTCATCAGCCATGGCAGGTGTTGAAGGAAGAATACCACAGCGGATGGAAGTCAAGGTGGAGGAGTGACAAGACCAGGCACGGGTTTAGGACGCGCTGTTTCGCTTCTCTTCGTGCTGACGGCTGACGGCCTACCTCGAGCTCAAGTCGACCCAGCCGCGTCCGTCACACTGAACAGACCGAGGACGAGAGACCAACGACGACCAACCCAAATCCAACAGCTCGCGGTACAAGCCTGCCGCCGACTTCGACTCGGACTTCGACTTCGACTTCGACTCTGACTCTGACTCTGACTCTGACTCTGACTCCGATTATACTCCCTCTCACTCACTCCCACTCCCACACAGCGGCACGAGCAAAGAGCGCAGGGGCAGATGGAAGGGAGAGCAGAGCAGAGCAGAGCAGAGCAGAGCAGAGCAGAGCAGA